ATTTGACTGCAGTGTCTAAAGATACGATGAACTATACAGTTTGTATTTCACAATTGGTCGAGCTTACGTGTAAGAGTTCTTATGTATGCCAGTAGTATATGACGGCAAGGACACCGTATTTCACATTTATCCACGATCCGGGTTACATCTGCTCGCAATTTATTTTTGCTTCCAGAAAAACATAACAGGATGCCGTCGACCGAAATAATCCCCCAAATTTACCGTAACCAGACGAAATTTCCCCCAAAATGGTAGAGATTGAGTAGTTACAAAGTCACAATCGATCCAACGTTTGCACTACAAGACAAAGAGAGCTAAACCAATGTTATTCGCAATGATTTTGTGATTTTGATGTAGCAAAAGATCACTTAAATATGAGTAAACCTGATATTTGTGCAACCCAACGTACACCCAACAAACCTTCAGCAAGTGTAATACGGAATGACCGCCTCTTGTCAGACCGTTCAAGTCCGTTGAAACGGAACGGGGAGCGACTTTGAAAGGCTCTGACTTATTTAATGCGCTCTCAAATTTTCAGGAATCGATCTCCTACCAAGGGGTAGGCTTATCTACTTGGAATAGGCAGATGGCATAGTCCTGTTTGGTGAAGACGATGACAAAATGCAGTCTTTTGGTAACACTGAACAGCAATGACAGAATGTTTAGGATGTGTTCCTCCCCTCAAAATTTAAATTATCACCTCAGGATTGACTGGCCTGTTTCAACACTTCAACTAAGAATAGGGAGTGAAGTAGTGGAACGCGTCGACAACTTCACTTATCTTGGAAGTCTGATCAGCCCCAATGGGTTGGTGTCTGACGAAATCTCGGCACGGATTCAAAAAGCTTGTTTGGCTTTTGCCAACCTACGTCACCTATGGCGAAGATGAGAAATTCGTCTATCAATTAAGGGATGAGTATACTGTGCAGCAGTTCGCTCTGTTCTACTTTACTGCTGCGAAACACGGCCATTAAGAGTAGAAGATACTCGTAAGTTACTAGTATTTGACCACAGATGCCTTAGAAATATTGCTCGCATCTGCTGGGATAACCGGGTAAGTAATAGTGAGGTTAGACGCAGGGTATTAGGGAATGATGGTAAATCAGTTGATGTGGTGATGAATCTTCATCGAGTGAAATGGTTGGGCCACTTGTTACGTATGCCTGAACACCGATTACCACGACGCGTAATGTTGACCAGTGTAGGGGATGGTTGGAAAAGAGTTAGGGACGGCCAAACCAAAACATGGCACCAGTCCTTGAAGTCACTAACCTCTAGACTAAGCCATGTTGGTAGATGCAGACTACTTGGTCGGGATCCACGTGACTATCGTAACCAATGGTTGGAGACTGTGGGTGACATGGCTCAGAATCGATCACAATGTTGTAGGCGTATACACTATTTGTCTTCCCTCAAACTGTGAGATTAAAATTGTTTCTTTCTTCCTGTACTATATCCTTACATACAACCTTTCTTTCATATATTACCACCAGTGAATTAACTACTTCTATTGATTTGATGTTACTGCTACTTCGCTTGCAGTCAACCCCTCGGAAGTGATTTACGTGGATTACCAATCGAATTATTTATGTGCGTGCATCAGAAAGTCAAGCAGCTCAGCGAATGCTTCATTAAAAACTTATTGTCATCGTTCTAGACTGGTATTATATAGAGTTTACTTTTGAATAAGAAAAGTCAATACGAGTCATGTGGTTGTGACTTAATGAACACTGTATGTTGAAAATCAATGACGAAATTAATAATAGGACGACCGGGAAAGTTAGTCAGCCATTTACGTTTGTCATGAAAACTGATTTCGTGTACATACGCTTGTGCTAGAAAAAATTGAAGAATGTAATTGTGGATCAAGCGAATGGACAGAGTACAAGTAGACAGCTGTTTTAATGATATTGGATGCCGTCATCTACCTGCGGCTCCACGACATTCTCAGTCTAATGGCATAGCAGCGAATGTCGTCCGGATCTCGAAAAGTGCTATCACATGAGTGAGTTCAAGTAATTTAGTTCAGTATCGCAATAAGCAACATTCACGATCACTCAAAGGTCCAGATAAACTCTCCAAATCTCGGACTTTTCAAACTTATTTAGTGAATAGGACATCATAAAAAGTGCATTTTCACTGGAGAAATGATTATCGACCATCTAAGGAAATTAAAACCCAGAATATGGGTAGTCGGACGATAAAGGTTGTTGATTGAAATGACTATTAAGTTCATAGTGGATGAGTATAGCAGTTGAAGGTTAGTGAATTAAGGAATCCCAATTTTATTTCTGATCATTCTCTAACTGATGTTAATTGTGTAGATAATTCTGAACTTCAGATAGATAGTTCAAATTTGGATTCCGATGATTCCCTCGATCGTGATGACTGTAGATAAATCCTGATTTCAGATAAGAGAAGAAAGTTAGAATCAGTATATCTAACAACTACAAGAATCTGACGGAATTGCAATGGACTAAAACTACATTATGGGCACAGACAGTCTGTACTAGGTGCAGTAATCGAACAATATAGCTACTGTACAATTAAATATTTTGTGTCGTCTTCCAATCTTTTAAAATGATCCAATATAGTTTCATTTTGGCCACTTATAACTCTACTTCATGATTGGGTCTTGTGAAAGTTCTAGGCTATTTGAGGTTGTTGGTAATTCGTTAGACTATTTCAAATCCACGAAAACGCATGTTGGTAATGAGAATGAAAGTGAAATAGCTGTCAAATTTCAGTCGGAATGACCAAATTTTGATGAACATTTGACTGTGTCACATGCTGTTATATCCTAGTGAAGACATAAGTACGGGTAACTTCCGAGACCTATTAATGGATTATTATTCTATATACATTGATATTGTATAAATATTCAGTGATTAGATTTAATTCATATATATTCATTTTATTATAAGCTCAATTTTGACCTATAAATTATTATTATACGATTTACTGTTCATAAATCATATTCAGTTTATTGTTTACCGTTTCCCACGTTCACGGCCACATTCGACTTGATCTTGTATACATATTATATTCTATTTTATGGTGTGATGCGCTCTGTCTGTCTGGTATGCAAACCGAGTATGCTTGAAATAAATGATTCACATAACAGAAGCTGTTATTGGTGTTCTGCACTCAACTGGAAGAGCTAAGCTGACAAAGGACAAATAAGGACGCCAGACTGCTAATACCGGTCGAACGTCATTGGTCTGTCACAGTGCTAAAATTGGATAAGTCGTACTCCGACTGGTGGATAAGCCACGTGATAAAAAGCCGGGCATAAGATCATCACAAACTAGCAACGGCCTTTTAAATTCATAACACGCATGAATTTATTCGTTTAGCAGAAGAAATGACTCAGTTTATACGTAAGTGTGAAGTTCAGTTATTCCTACCTGCTATTCTGTAAAAATGCCCTTGACCTTGCTACTGGAATCGAGGTTTCTGTGCAATCTCTACAGATAAACAACGCTATGGATTTAGGGAATCCGTTCTACATCTACCGTGGTGAAAGATTCATTGAATTTTTTATTAGTTGAACATCCACTTAGTTCATCACAGTTGACAGTTCCATTGCAATCGATATTCAGTGTCAGATACTGATGAAGTAGTGCTAGGTAGCGTGTATGCTGAATATAAGATTCTCTTTGTCATGAGAAATAATCCCCTGTGAAGAATCAACATCACATTATTTAAGGTGCTAAGCGTGTTATTAATTTGTAGCTGTCTATCCGTACTGCTACGTGAGTGGAAAAGAATCGATCTTATATGTGAGGTTGGCATCACTAATCTACACCGGGTTACTCTCCTCCAAGTCAAAAATTTGTTCTTCAAAAGTGTTTTACGTTATACTGCTGACTATCACGATAGAACGAGTCAGCGTAGACTATGACGTGACTTCCATGTAAGATCTTGCAGATTAGGTTGTAGTATAATGACAAATCTAGAATTAAGGGATTAGGTAGATTATTGTTGTGTAATTCAGACTTGAAGTCCCACTTAATAAGGCAATACTTAAGACTGTGTTTCAGGATGCACTTAAAGGTTTATTTCCAGAAAACATCTGTGTGAGCCAACTGTAAGATCTTACCAAAGTTCATGCAGACGGCATCAAACTTTTGTTAAAGATGGTAAATGATTCATGACTCTTGAAAATATCAAAACTCTCTGGACACCAGCAAACTGATTAATTAGCTTCAGGAAAACTCAATTTATCCTTATGATTTCGTAAATTTATACATCAGTGAATGCAAAATCAGCAGAACGTGCATTCTATTGCACATTAAGGTCAATGGCGCAGAAGTCGTGGTTGCCACAACTAGAGACTATATCATTAATAGCCAGCCCCAAAGAAGGTGTTATAATAGTATGGGTGTTTATGAATTATGATTGTGAGGCAGAAGTTAATAGTACAGCATTGAAATTTCTGATGAGTTCAAGGGGTTTATGGTCGTGTGATGCGTCAACGCATTGAAATTACGGTAAGGAGAATGGCTCTAATATACGGATCTCTTTAGCCTAAACAGGTGACTTAATATTGTTGTACAGGACTCACAGAAATGAATTTGAACCTGAAATATTTTTTCATCTTACAAACAGGTCAGTGCAACCAAAAGCTGAATCAAAAGTGCTGGAAAATCATCTTCACAACACTTAAAGGCTTTCCCACAGCAAACAATAATTTTATCTTACCGCCTAAAATGTGGTTGACCCCTGAGAAGATAAGATAAATAAAAAGCATTACAGTATGAGAATAGTTTTCGGACATTCTGCAGTCTAGGCCAAAATGTAGAAAAACAGCTTTTAACTAGCTGTGACTGACAAGTTAAACATCATAAAGGTTTCATTAACCGTTCCGTAATCTTTTTACTCAAGTAAGAATTAACGGTTTCAGACCGACTCACAACAAAGGCGTGAAATTTGTTGAACCTTCCAAACACATTGGTTCTTCTGCATGTCGTATGTTTTCCTGTGTCATCGAAGACTTTATACTTGACCTACATCTGGGGCGCTAGGTTTGTAGTCGCTGCACATGGGAGTGAGTTGTTTACTTTGGTGCTTTTAATCTCTTATTTTAGACCGTTCAGCATCTTTTTCTATTTGAGCACATAACGGGGTTCGGGCTATTTCGAGTGAAGGAATTTGACGAAATAACTAGAGGTTTTAAGGCTCACCCCAATGCTTTTATCAAACCGGTCGCTTTTGTCCATTTTAAGTCAGTCCAGGAGGCTGTAGAAAATGTTCAAACTATCGTTAGCGGAAATCTCTCTGACTTGCTCAGACAGTTTCTAAGAAGGAATGTACCGCCGGTCGACTGTGTGTTGGGAGTCAGTGACGAAAAACTAGGCAAATGTATACTGTGAGTTCTCTATATCTTCGTTAATTTAAGCTTTGTGAATAATTGCTACTTATGAAATAAGGTATATGGTAAAAACTATTTCAGTCCTCTTGTAGAAGTGCAGGAGTTTTAGGTGGACGTATCCTATTTACATTCCGAAGTAATCAGTTTTTTTAGACAAGATTAGACGCTGGTTACTTTGACTCCCTGTTATTATTAATTTGTTTTCTGTGCCGATATAGTGTAGTGACTTCGACCGACACATGTGTATGACAGCGAAGTTACAAATGCTGTAATATTTGTCGTCAAATGTACGACCCCAGTATATATATTATGAATAAAAGAAGTATCTGGAACCGAAATGATCGAATGTGGTAAACAATCAAGCTGAAGTTGAAATTATAAGTTGGTATTAAATTTACTGTTTTTGTGATGAAGCTTATTGACGAAATCTTCTTAAGCCTTTTGCTCTACAGTCGAGCTAAAGTATTCCATCCAGTTTTCTGCCTTTCATCCAAGTTCCAACACTCATTATTACAAAACCCTTAAATCCTATATTTGTTGGGACTGTAAAACATCAAATACATAGTCCGAAAAATCTAAATTACTGCTCAGAAACTTTGCAAACAAACTTTTCAAAACTACAGCACTGTTGGTTGCTGTTTTTCTATGGTAATTAAATCATTTCCCGATGTCCTAATATCAAGATTTATTTCGTGTTGAAGACTATCGTATGAACTCAGAAAGTGAGGAGCTCACTCATGCCTATTCGTCGATTCTGCCTACACTCACATTAGCTTTCACACACCTTCCGACGTCCTTCAAAAAGATAAACACTCAGATGCAGTAGTCTTAGCAGCAGTCTCAATGGCTAAGTAGGTGGTCTATATCCAACTGAAAGACATTTAGTTGGGTACTATGGTGTACTGGTCAACAAATAGGCAACAACTGTCGTCTGGCGCTACTATCCTCAGGAAGCAGTTTGTATATAGTAAATGGCAACTTCAAACATAAGAAGAGACTTTGTCTGGCACGGCGATCCCCGAAATCGACTCAATGATGGACTCAAGTAAACCATATCGTCTTCGTCTATCGCTAGAGGCTCGATAGAGAATCTCATATCTTTCAGAAGCCCATGTTTAGACTCTAATCACGCTCTCGTACGAGCACATATCTACTAGCGTTTTACTGGATGCAGAAAATCCATGGAAGAAAGATTCCTTAGTGTCCAGCTTATTGATGAAGTCAAGGAAATACTCCAGAATCAACTAGAGATTTCCTTCAACAGTCATCAAAGTGATATTCACCACAATGTGGGTTGGCATAGTGTCCGAACGGCTGCGACGTCTATCAGTGACTTAAACCAAAATATTATGAGAAGTCAGTGGACTCCGGTAGTTTCGACTGAATCGATCGGCACTAAGAGGCATTCTATCAGGCTGGGGATAAGATGAGAAGCGAAGACTATTTAAGCATAAACTAAGAAGAGGTGCACCTTGTGATCGTGACCGGTGGTTGTAAGCGAAAGCAAGAGAGATGGGAAGAAGAGCAGTGATAAGTAATAGTAGACAACTTTCCAAAGAAGGTATCAGAAATTCAGCTGTTAGTGGAGCTATTTCTAAAAAAACGTGTAACCATGATTTACTTTCAGCTCAGACGACTAGAAAGATAGACAGAACACTTTAAGGAACAATTCAACTATTCTCAAGTTTCTAACCATTATGAAACAGCAATAGTGGGAGATTGAAATAAGCCTCGCAACGTTTAGTAAAGTCGAAAAGGTTATGGTCAATATAAGGTGTGGGAGGGCAGTTGATCCTGATTTATTAACCCTGAAGATCTTTAGGAATGATGATCCAGTTTAAGCAGTCAGATTGGCTGAAATATTAGCCAGAATCTAGGAACTAGACATAATCCCACTTGACTGGCCTCAACTGCTGATCATCCTGGTCGATAAGGAAGAACAGGAATCTTCTTGTGACAACCATAAGAAAGTCAGTTTGACTGACTTCAAAATCGACCGAATTCATAGTAACTTTTTAAATATAATACTCATTGAAGCTTATACGCCAAGTGTTTACAAATTGACTTTATACGAGAATCACTGGTAATAGGATACTTCGCTAATATTTATGCTGTGAGGTGTAGTCCGAAATTCATAGTACTTCAGTGTATCTTGAACCGAATAACGTAGATTTTGGTCGTTTTATACGTAATATTCCAGTTTATTTCGTTCGGTTAGTTTTTAAACAAAAATGAGGAAAATCCTAGTGGAAAAGTGAAGTCACATATAATCTAGACAGTAAACAAATATAAATTCACTTAGTGTTGTTTACTTGTATCTTCCGATTGTTATTTAGGACTGCGATTGATCACTCTCTTTTTGGCATGCGTGCATCCTGTGCGGACTGCCTCGATATTGCCTGAAGTCACAAATATTTATAAGCAAATATACTTTGACCGTATCAGGATTATGTCAGTACGTGGGAATCCGATTTGGTAACTTATAAAGGGGATAATTTTGTTCAACCATTATGTCCATCCTCTGTACGACATTGACTTCAGCTAGTTAACTTGTCAGAAAAAATATTTCCGATTCACAAATTTAAACACTCAGATAACCACATCAAAAGTGTATAAGGAAAGTCCTAAACACTTATACTATGCTTAAATGTCTGTTTTTGAGTTTGAAATAAGAGATGGATAATGGGCACTAATGTCTAAAAGTCTGTTGAAATGTGTTAAAATCTAGTCACTTTAGTATATCCGAAAATATGTTATTATACGTACCAATGTCCTGTTCTTTGTATTTATGTTCATGTGTTTTTATGGATGAGGTTTCCTGTGATTTAGTTAAACGAAATTACGAATGTCAAAACGATTGAACAGACTGCTAATCGATAGATAAACGGAGCTATATGATTTGACCGAGTGATGTCTACTTACGAGATCGTCTAATTGACTTATGCCTCCAAATCATTCGAAATCGAAGGCAAGATCACTGGCCAGACGAATATCTCTATGTAATAAATAGCATGCCTTTATACAACATATGAATTCAATATAGACATGGTAAAATGTTAAAGGTGATTGGAGGCAATTTATTTGTAGATCACTCATTTTCCAATTGATTCAAACTTTACTATTAAGCTTATTTGTGGGGCATCGTAACAGGTATTTAAATATCTCTTATGCTCATATGATACCAGGGTTGTCAGTTATATATTTATTCAATGAAAGCAAGTATTACTTTCTGAATGAGTATGAAAAACGGGTTGCAAAGAAAAAATTTTCTGTGGTCAGGTCTATTTTACGGCTCTAAACTGACAATTAGTGGGTTTTGTATTGCATTGTAAGTCAAAACAGTAATCCAGAATAAGTGGTTGTAAACTATTCAACATCATTTATAGATTCCAAATTATAGTAAAAACTAACCCTTGTATTGTGTGATGAGTGTTTGCACCAAACCAAGATATGACATCAGTCTATGAAGACACGACTGGTTGAACTGGGCCATGTAGGTATGTGTAGACTACCTTGTTAGGGTCCGCGTAATAATCGTAACCATTGGATGGAGATCTCAAAATCGGCTGTGATGTCGCATGTGCATTCACCCTTTATCTCCTTCAGATCATAAGTTCCTATATTCCTTGTGAAATTTGTTTTATTGCTACACTAATTTATATTTCCTCAAATTGTATCTTGGGTCCCCGATCTTTTCTATTACCAGTACAATTGTTACTATCTCTTCTACTCTGGGATTTTCCCTGACAATTTAATCTTGTGTTAATGGGGTATGTCAAATTGAACCTATATACACGTACCAGATTCTGCGTTGTATTTGTATGACAGACTAGTTGTTACCGCAGAAATATTTCCAACCCTAACCTATACAAATGCAGCATAATGTATATTATAAAGCCTAAGGAGTTATATTTCCGAATTTCCTTTGGTCTTAGTAGCAAAAACAACAAACCATTATCCCAGAAGTTTTCCGTTTTATTAGCTTGGATTTAGCTTATCTCAACCTACGGACAAGCTCGCTTACACTAGAAACTCTCATATATTCTGAGTCTTGAGCTCTGTATATTAAAGTGAGCGGTGTTACTAACCTTGTCAGATACAATAACAGAAGCAGTTTTTCATCTTTTGCTCCCCGTTGTTCGTCAGCCTTTTATTATGTTTATCCAACAACAAATTCGTACAATTCAAGTTACCTCAAAGTAGTATAATTCATCTGACAAGAAAATATGTATGTAATTCACATTTCAGTAGCCGTGCATTGATCTTACGAATGGTTGTCTAACATGAGAATTGTTTGGTCCTCTCTGTTCACAAGAAATCACAAAACTACTTGTATCACTTTAAACTACAAACCTGCGTATTAGAACAGATCTCACGTACGATTGTGAACTGGCAAAAAAATGTTGGTCATCTTATCATACCCTTGTATACAAAATGGAAGATTTATTAATTAGATGATTTAGTTCTTGACTTCATAAATCTAGAATTTAGTGACCTAGTTTAATCTGTGGTACTCTAGCTGTTAACTAGCGCGTAATTGATAAGTACATTCAAACAGCTTAACTTTATTTGAAATGCGTCATTTCCATTAAGATCACTACTTTCCACATTTAAAGGGCTTGTGATTTTGGCTTCGAATGCATTTGGTATGGATCTGTTCACGAGGTTCTTCGGGTAATAAGACAAAGTTTTGCCCGGTTGACACGTTCGCTGATCACTCAACCTGGTGCCGCACTCTCCTTACCAATGATTGATGAAAAATTTAAACCTTCAACTAGCGCAGATGAACAAAAACCTGGACCAATCGCTGAATCACGTGCACGGGTTGTTGTTAGCCTAGCACGTGCTCGTCTACAACTGGGAATTGAACATCACCTAGCCGATACTGGGATTATTAAGGTACTGATGCTGATCGACGAATTGGATAATTCTTTAACACGGTCAGCTTCGCGGTTAAGAGCTTGCTACAGTATACACTTTCCAGAGGTGTGTCGACCACATTTTAAAAAGCAAATTTGTCTGGATGATATGAATCTGGTCCAATTGATAGCCAACTCCCCACTTCGTTCTTCTATAGTTTCAAATTTTGCTGCTGGAAGTTTCACGTATTTGGGTAGTGACGAACTTGCTTCCCTCATTGCAACTACTGCTCAAGATTCTGTTGGGGCTGAGCTAAGTGAGGAAGACTGTGAAAACCTTCAAAAATATGCACAACGCTTATTGCAAATGAATGAGGTATGCATTATTGTGACGTTATTCATTTATCTCAATAAGACAGTGCAATGAAGAACTTCAAAAAGTAGAGAAACAAACCCGTTTTCTGTTAAAATGTTTTATTCGTGCCTACATTTATTTATAAGTTAAAACCTAACGGCGATAGTCCAGACCGTAAAAAACCACCAGAGTTTTCAGTAACATTGAGAATTCACGTTCCTGATCATTCCATTCTATCAGGTAGTAATAATGAAAATTATATAATACATTCCCGTTTTAGTGAATCACGAATACTCAGACAGTAAAGTCTCCAGACGTACTTTAAGTCAACAACTTAGTGTCTTGTTTCTACTTCTCAAATACAAAAATTGATTGGTCGATTAATCGGTCACAACGATAAACCTAGGACAAATTGCCTCGGTAAGTAAAAGATGGGATGAGAAGTGGTAATAAAAAATGATAAATACAAACTAAAGTTCAAGTAGAATTATTGGAATGGACAATAAAAAGTACGAGATAATTTCGTTCGCATCATTAAACTGAAGAACAAAACACATCCTTATCGTTGGGATTAATTAACGTATTCATACGTGGTTTATGGTTTTTGCGTGTACTCGAACCAGTGTTTTTGTGTCTCCAGTTACGACTCACAGCTTATAGCATGATAGGCCAATCCCATGTTTGTGGTTGATTCTAACTGTTTATGTGGTTCCACTTTTCTACTGACTATCAGTATCCCCAGTTGTTGGATTTTAATTACTTAAACTAGCAACAATTTTGATAAAATATTGTATCACAAGGGTACCTCTTCTAAGATGCTATGCGTGTTTTACAACGAATGAACTTACAATTCTAAACAAAGATAGTATGATAGGTTCACCGCTTGTAATGCAATTCAATAATATTTTACGCGTATATAAACGAATATCCCATACAACACCGGATCTTAAGCCTTGATGTCTGGGCTCACTGTTGTAATACTTGTAAAGGCATTCATGGTGGAATAGCTCTAAAGAGACTGTACGTTTCTGCTAGTGCTAAAAAACCATCAAGCTAGAACAACTAACAGAAATGTCTTTTAAGATGCGTATTATCCAAAAAGTACCAGGTGTAACTAGCTCGTAGTAGGTCCGCTAATGTTTCCTTTTCAAAGCCTAAGTAACGTTTCGCTTGTTTCTTTTTATTTCAGGCAAAACAACGGTATGTAAATTCCTTGTCACGACGAATAACTAGTTTGTGTCCTAATTTGCATGCTCTTCTTCACTGTACACTTCATTCAGGTGATGAGGCGGAACAAGGAAAAGTTCCTAAGGCTAATGATAATTTGTCATCTTGTTTGATTACCGCACGTCTAATAGCTAATGCTGGTTCTTTCAACCGACTTGCTTCTATGCCTTCTACACGTTTACTGTCTTTAGGAGCATCAAAAGGATTATTCAGGTTAGTTGTGTTGGGGCTCCAATTGATTGAGTTATTGATAATAATAGTTGTTTATTTTATTAATGAAATATAGGCTTCGCACAAAAAACAAAAGAACGTAACATAAACTAGGTGGTAATGTTATGAAGATGTAAGGAGTGAAAACTTTAGAATCCTAACTAGAGTAGGAATATCAAAAGATCAGCTTCGGATAAAAACAAGACCAAAGCAAAATTCATACTCAGAAGTGCATACACTATATAAATATATATATATATATATATATATATATATATATATATATACTAAATATTATACATAATATGGTCACTACTAGCTTCTCTTCTGAGCCATGTCTAATGAGATGTAAAATCTCTAGACCCTATCCAGCTTTTTGTGATGTCAGCTGTTGCTAACTTGACTCAACCATTCACCTCATTGTGACTACTCAGGGTCATACAATCATGGGCAGCTTCAAAACCACTGCGACAACATCGAAGCCTGTTTTAGGATAGAATCACTTATTGGCTTTAGTTATCCTCATATATTTGATTTCAACACTACCTTTATCATATATGCTCTGCCGATCGTTTAAGTGGACTTATACAACTGTCACTGCTTATTAAATGATGTCATCCACGCAGCCAAAAACGAAGTATCTCCGAGTCATAGATGGTTTCAGAATCTCACCGACGGTAAATTCCTAATCCAAAAAATGAGATTTCTCATGCGTAATATAGAGAATATTTTTCGAGATTATTGGTCTGCAAATCTTCATTGAGGTACACAGCTTCACCACTTTTTAATTAGCGATCATTCACTTTTGACACTTGAATTACTGTTTAAACAAAACATATCAAACTATATTTCTGAATTTATAGGAAAGGTGGTGCTGTTGTGGCTACATCTACAGGTCTTTTATCAAACGCAACTAAAATATTAAGAGATCCGAAATTACCAACAGATACAGACAATCTTCAGCCGGCAACTGCTAGTATTTCCGCAGCTGAGTTGAAGTCTTTGAGTGCTAATCGTGTACAGAGGAACACAGTGCATCGTCGTGCTGCGCGTCTACTTGCTGATAAATCAGTTCTCGCTTGTCGTGCAGACTGTTTCCGCCAACACAATCCAATTTACCAACAGCAAGGTCTTACTTCACAACCTTGTGTTTCTGTTATGGAAGATGAACGACTCAAAAGTGGAGCATATGGTCAGTATCTTGGAAAAACTGTACAAGAACACTTGAGGATATGGGCTGAAAAAAACGGGATACATACAGACAAAACCGAGGAACAGAAGAAGGTATTTTAGAAAAAAGATTGCTCTTTCTTTATGCGCTCAGTATTATTCGTATAAAACTACTAAATGGAGATGTTTCTCTGTTTTAGGCTCAGCGTAAAAGAAGGAAAAGGTATCGGAAACTTAAACGAAAAGCTTGGTTCACCCGTAAACTTTCTAGATGCACAGAAAAGCAGCTATCAGATGGTATCATGAATGATATTGAATCTATGGATGTCGATTCAGATAGTCCCACGCAACTTAGAATAATCACTTCACAACTGATAAACGATGGAGATGTGTTTAATGATACGAAGAAAACAGGTGACAACTATAACACAGATTTGAATGGTAGATGTTTAGTAAACCCCAATGAGCTCTTAAATTCGTCAGGAAAAAAATCTTATTTTCGTAAGAAAAGTCGGAGTGCAAATCCCTGCAACAAATAATTCCCGCTAAATAACACAATGATTACAAATTCTATTGTAAATAACTTGGACTTTGCAAGTTGACATTTGTTTGTAAGACATTTTGCACATTAAAAAATCCTATTCTAATGTTAACGATTCAAGTTCACGAAGTGATATCCCTGGCATCTTAAAGCGACGCTGAAAACTGCATGTTATAGCTCTTAGTGCTCTAAACCCATATCAAACCGTGTACGGCTGGGCTAGCTGTTGAGACGTTCGACCTACGGTAAGGAGAATGGCTCTAATATACGGATCTCTTTAGCCTAAACAGGTGACTTAATATTGTTGTACAGGACTCACAGAAATGAATTTGAACCTGAAATATTTTTTCATCTTACAAACAGGTCAGTGCAACCAAAAGCTGAATCAAAAGTGCTGGAAAATCATCTTCACAACACTTAAAGGCTTTCCCACAGCAAACAATAATTTTATCTTACCGCCTAAAATGTGGTTGACCCCTGAGAAGATAAGATAAATAAAAAGCATTACAGTATGAGAATAGTTTTCGGACATTCTGCAGTCTAGGCCAAAATGTAGAAAAACAGCTTTTAACTAGCTGTGACTGACAAGTTAAACATCATAAAGGTTTCATTAACCGTTCCGTAATCTTTTTACTCAAGTAAGAATTAACGGTTTCAGACCGACTCACAACAAAGGCGTGAAATTTGTTGAACCTTCCAAACACATTGGTTCTTCTGCATGTCGTATGTTTTCCTGTGTCATCGAAGACTTTATACTTGACCTACATCTGGGGCGCTAGGTTTGTAGTCGCTGCACATGGGAGTGAGTTGTTTACTTTGGTGCTTTTAATCTCTTATTTTAGACCGTTCAGCATCTTTTTCTATTTGAGCACATAACGGGGTTCGGGCTATTTCGAGTGAAGGAATTTGACGAAATAACTAGAGGTTTTAAGGCTCACCCCAATGCTTTTATCAAACCGGTCGCTTTTGTCCATTTTAAGTCAGTCCAGGAGGCTGTAGAAAATGTTCAAACTATCGTTAGCGGAAATCTCTCTGACTTGCTCAGACAGTTTCTAAGAAGGAATGTACCGCCGGTCGACTGTGTGTTGGGAGTCAGTGACGAAAAACTAGGCAAATGTATACTGTGAGTTCTCTATATCTTCGTTAATTTAAGCTTTGTGAATAATTGCTACTTATGAAATAAGGTATATGGTAAAAACTATTTCAGTCCTCTTGTAGAAGTGCAGGAGTTTTAGGTGGACGTATCCTATTTACATTCCGAAGTAATCAGTTTTTTTAGACAAGATTAGACGCTGGTTACTTTGACTCCCTGTTATTATTAATTTGTTTTCTGTGCCGATATAGTGTAGTGACTTCGACCGACACATGTGTATGACAGCGAAGTTACAAATGCTGTAATATTTGTCGTCAAATGTACGACCCCAGTATATATATTATGAATAAAAGAAGTATCTGGAACCGAAATGATCGAATGTGGTAAACAATCAAGCTGAAGTTGAAATTATAAGTTGGTATTAAATTTACTGTTTTTGTGATGAAGCTCATTGACGAAATCTTCTTAAGCCTTTTGCTCTACAGTCGAGCTAAAGTATTCCATCCAGTTTTCTGCCTTTCATCCAAGTTCCAACACTCATTATTACAAAACCCTTAAATCCTATATTTGTTGGGACTGTAAAACATCAAATACATAGTCCGAAAAATCTAAATTACTGCTCAGAAACTTTGCAAACAAACTTTTCAAAACTACAGCACTGTTGGTTGCTGTTTTTCTATGGTAATTAAATCATTTCCCGATGTCCTAATATCAAGATTTATTTCGTGTTGAAGACTATCGTATGAACTCAGAAAGTGAGGAGCTCACTCATGCCTATTCGTCGATTCTGCCTACACTCACATTAGCTTTCACACACCTTCCGACGTCCTTCAAAAAGATAAACACTCAGATGCAGTAGTCTTAGCAGCAGTCTCAATGGCTAAGTAGGTGGTCTATATCCAACTGAAAGACATTTAGTTGGGTACTATGGTGTACTGGTCAACAAATAGGCAACAACTGTCGTCTGGCGCTACTATCCTCAGGAAGCAGTTTGTATATAGTAAATGGCAACTTCAAACATAAGAAGAGACTTTGTCTGGCACGGCGATCCCCGAAATCGACTCAATGATGGACTCAAGTAAACCATATCGTCTTCGTCTATCGCTAGAGGCTCGATAGAGAATCTCATATCTTTCAGAAGCCCATGTTTAGACTCTAATCACGCTCTCGTACGAGCACATATCTACTAGCGTTTTACTGGATGCAGAAAATCCATGGAAGAAAGATTCCTTAGTGTCCAGCTTATTGATGAAGTCAAGGAAATACTCCAGAATCAACTAGAGATTTCCTTCAACAGTCATCAAAGTGATATTCACCACAATGTGGGTTGGCATAGTGTCCGAACGGCTGCGACGTCTATCAGTGACTTAAACCAAAATATTATGAGAAGTCAGTGGACTCCGGTAGTTTCGACTGAATCGATCGGCACTAAGAGGCATTCTATCAGGCTGGGGATAAGATGAGAAGCGAAGACTATTTAAGCATAAACTAAGAAGAGGTGCACCTTGTGATCGTGACCGGTGGTTGTAAGCGAAAGCAAGAGAGATGGGAAGAAGAGCAGTGATAAGTAATAGTAGACAACTTTCCAAAGAAGGTATCAGAAATTCAGCTGTTAGTGGAGCTATTTCTAAAAAAACGTGTAACCATGATTTACTTTCAGCTCAGACGACTAGAAAGATGGACAGAACACTTTAAGGAACAATTCAACTATTCTCAAGTTTCTAACCATTATGAAACAGCAATAGTGGGAGATTGAAATAAGCCTCGCAACGTTTAGTAAAGTCGAAAAGGTTATGGTCAATATAAGGTGTGGGAGGGCAGTTGATCCTGATTTATTAACCCTGAAGATCTTTAGGAATGATGATCCAGTTTAAGCAGTCAGATTGGCTGAAATATTAGCCAGAATCTAGGAACTAGACATAATCCCACTTGACTGGCCTCAACTGCTGATCATCCTGGTCGATAAGGAAGAACAGGAATCTTCTTGTGACAACCATAAGAAAGTCAGTTTGACTGACTTCAAAATCGACCGAATTCATAGTAACTTTTTAAATATAATACTCATTGAAGCTTATACGCCAAGTGTTTACAAATTGACTTTATACGAGAATCACTGGTAATAGGATACTTCGCTAATATTTATGCTGTGAGGTGTAGTCCGAAATTCATAGTACTTCAGTGTATCTTGAACCGAATAACGTAGATTTTGGTCGTTTTATACGTAATATTCCAGTTTATTTCGTTCGGTTAGTTTTTAAACAAAAATGAGGAAAATCCTAGTGGAAAAGTGAAGTCACATATAATCTAGACAGTAAACAAGTATACTTTGACCATATCGAGAATGAGTTAGTATGTGAGAGAAAAACAGCTCTTTACATAATTTGTAGTTCCAGGACAGTAAAAGTGTGTGTACATATTTGTATTTATTAATCAGGTGATCGAACATAAATATAAACCTTGGTTTTTGGAAATGACTATTCGCTCCATCGTTTAACGAAAAGTAGTTTTCCAACCAAGATCTTGGGTCATCATAGAACATATCAGCCTCATCGATATAACGATAACTGTCTGATATCAGTTTTGTCAAATCTGGATCACATGACAGTTGTTTGAAAGAAATGTTTCGATGTAGATATCTGAAAAGAAAAGAACGAATGAAGAAATCAGTGCACTTATACATCTGTAAGTCTGTTCATTACTACTTAGTGAGTTTCTTCATAATAATATGCTGATAAAAGTCGTTTATTACTGTAATAATCAATGACTTTACAGAAGCTTAGTAATAAAAGTGCAGAAGTCTGATTTGATGACTACAGTTGCTTTTTGATTCTATAAAATGAGATTCCAGTACATGCGTGACTCTAGCATATCTATTTGTTTAATGAACAAATTTTTTAAAATTTTATTCAATTTAATATCCGTGCACTGTTAATACTATAAGCTGTTCCAACATGCAATGATACAATTTTTTGGCGTGTATGATTGAATAAGTGATAGCCTGATTACAAATTAATTACTCAACTGTTTATAATATCAATATTTAAAACTAATTAACTTACCCTACTGATGGGACCGTATGACACGGCATCAAGTTCAGAGCAATTACAGCTTCATTTCTAAGTTGACTTTTCAAGATTTGTTGGTCCAAAAATTTTATTGAATCAAGTCCACCACGTTGATGCACTAAACATGTATATAGTGCCAATGGAACATGTGTCAAAATTATGAATGACACCAAATACTGGCGTCGGGTATTCTGACTGTGTAAAAATTTCAGTTTGAATCCGTAACGAACGAACCACACTGATATAATACCAGAGAAATACATAGCTAGCGGGATTGATGGGAAGATAAATCTGAATTCTTTGTGCGGAAGGAAACTGAACAGTAAAGAAAAAGAACTACCGTCAACTAGGAGAGTAAAATTTTAAATACACAAAGGTGACTTCCGGTCATGTTTAAGTTGATAAAAAGAGCCAGATGAGCGAATAAATATTTACACTAGGTACTAAGAATGAATTATAGCAACAGAGTAACTGAGAAGACGTGCTAGCTTGCACCCCTTATCTACAGCTCCAGCGAAAAGTGTATGGATGACCAACCCATTTCCATACGGTATCAGTCGAACTGACAATAGATGCTGAATTCTGGAATTTTATATTACAAATTATTTACGCACCAAGCTCTTTCTTGAGTTGAATACATAGTAGCCCATGATTGACCCAAAATAGTTTTGTCTCCAACAACAAGTAGTACTGTAGTCAAGTTTCCTGAGAATTAGTTACATGTTCCTTTATTAACTCAGTATTTTTATTCCCTACTAAATTTCAATGCTAAAAATTTTCATTAGAACCTTATAGCCAACCGTTACTCTAGCCAGTTTTTTTCAATTGTCAGTACTTGCAATTTTGATAGTGTATCTTCCTGTGGATTTCAACAGCTGAAGATGCTTCTTTTTTTAAATTATATCATGATTAACTTTCAAAAGTTTTGAAATTGAAAGGGGTTTCACACGATTTGGTTACCTTCAATACCTGGTGATTTGTTACTGATTATGTTTACTCCTACAGCTACAAAAGACAGAATAAGTTATTGATACTGATTAAATAACGAAAAATTAGTGTCACCCAGTATATTTTAAACCAAAGTAAAATTATATTTTTCAGAAATACGGTTATAACGCGTGCCCCACGTTTCGATTCAGGTGTGCGTTTATTTATTATCCATAAACTACACATCTAGTAAAAGATAATGTCAATATCCAAGATACTGTACTTAATAAAACAGGATGTGACAAAATTATTAGGAATTAAGAAAATGACAAATTAGTTAGGTGATTAATCGATGATCTAAACTTACCTATAAGATATTATAATCCATATCATGACAATAATACACAAACCACATGGATCACGAAACATCTGATTGCTGGAGTTGTTTGAATAGTCTATCTTCTTTCTCTCTTCCGTGAGATCTCTTACAAAACCCGGACCATATTTAAAATACATAACAATAAAGGTTACCACCAAAGGTGTTTGCGTTAACAACATAGCCACAAATCCTTGGGATAAGTACCAGTGCCAAGGCTGAACGGCATAAAATCGTGATCCTCCAGAAAAAAGATTGAACTTAATGAAATTCCACTGGTTGATTATCCACTGATTAAATGTCCAACGATCCAGAACGCAAGAGAATGCAAAACACGGGATAATTATACTTAAGTAAATCCCGATCTGATAGATAAGATGGTTTACAAACAATTTTGTCCTGTATAATGAAATCATTTATATACGGAAGAAAAAATATCTTGCATAAAGGGACTTAGTTAGTTTATGCAATTCTTACATAAAATTCAAAAAGAAAATAATTTAACAGTCACTCAATGCATTTGCTGAATATTAGCGTATACATCAATGTATGTATTGCAGGGGGATTCAGTAAAATTACTGATCGACATGTATTATAGTGGTTTAACAAATAACACACGTCTATCATCCTAATTTACAACGATAGCGTGGAGTCGCAGGGACATAAATTAAAAAGTTTATAATACAAATTGATATCAATCGGTCAATATGTGCCAATAACCTCTTCTGCCATTGTTATACTAAACAACCACCCAACACTTCCTGACCTTATCAATCTACTTAAAATATGGTTTTTACTGAAAAGGCTTTCTAAACGAAATAGGACGGTTATCAAAGTAAAAAAAATAGACTGTCTTGTCTTACTATGATTCAAGTGATTTCTTTAAAACAATTCACTAAACGTTAGCACACAAGTCTATTCGTGTTATAAAGTAGTTGGACGAAGCAAAAATTGTATATGGTATGCAAGTAACAAGTTGGTTCACTAATGGTACATCCATTATTGAATATTAAATGTTGTACTGATGACTGAAACATTGCTTTTACTTTTACCACATGTGTAAAACGAATAATTCAAGTCCAGTAATCTTTGTGAATATATTAGTAGTAAAGAGATATTGTATCAGAGTTTATCATTGAACCAAATAAAAACTACATAGGGATCCGTACATACCTAGAATGCTCTTGATATTCTTTAAGATCATGTTTATTATCCTTATCTAGTGTACTAGCTATCATACACTTTCGCCATATATGCCAAAAACACAAAGGGAACCAAATAATCAAAGCTGTTGGACGTATTAGAACACTGACTACTGCAATAAAAATGAGCCATTTCGGTCGATTATGATAGTTGGATGCGGTTAATTGAATAAACTGTTGATCTGTGAAGCATATCACATTCCATGGATAATAGGATAAGCCAATTATGCATAAACACCATTCAATACAATTTGATAGACTTCGTGGAGCACAATATATAGTAAACCAATTACAAACATGATGAAACAATGTCCACTGTAATCGTTTTATCAAAACGAAGCAAAAATAATTAAAAAGAAAAAGTCAATAAATTAAGGAATTCAAAACTCAAAAGTATTTGTACATTCGAGATGGATCGTATAAGCGTACTCTGAAATGAGGTTGCTGATGGAAGAGATTTCGGTGATGTACAATTCCTTACTTTTTTCAACGGTTTACTTAATTAAATTTTTATTACTCACAGTACCAACTGTTCTAGTATAAAATACACAACTAGATTTCCGAAATATGTGTTTTGGACTCCATTAAAAAGTTAGTCATAAACGTTGACCACTTATTTTACATAAGTGGAAATCATGCGACTCATTTATACTGAATATTTGTACGTGTTCTTTAACATTGAATATGGTTTGTAATCACAAAGACAGAACTGACTAATGTGCATTTGTAAGTGTTAATGGGACAAGTAAACTGATTAGGTAAAAATACTTTTCAGTTCTCGATTTAACAAATTCTGAGGTTTTACCACACAAAACACTTCATATCTACAACCTACATTCAACATACCGTTGACAGATAGTAACAACTTAAAATACTTTACTTATTTTGTCACAGAAACATTCAGAAATGAATATATATATATATATATATATATATATATATATATATATATAAACATTTTCTATCGTTTTTTATACTGATAACAACCATTCATGCACATCATAAAAGCTATGAAGTTATAGGTGTTTTGAATGATTTTCATGTTATTACTCCAAAGGCCTTATGGCTGCAATCACACCGTTGTTTGGTACGTAACGAGTAGTTAACAATTAAAACAACCAAGAAACGGGATATTTCCGAAGTATAAAGAGTCTCTTGAGCTTCTTTTAATAGATAAGTTCGAAATACACACGATTAGAAAGCTCTTCACATTTGACAGTCAATGTTTGAGCAGCACATATCAAAATAATATTAGGATTACAGCTTTAAGTAAAGAGGGGAGAATCGGTCTGAGGAAAATTAAGTAATTCGAAGAGACTACTCATCATTAATTGAAATTTATCAGAAAACCTCAGTTTCGCCTTAGTTTTTTATCTCTCATCAGTGACATGGAGGATGATAAGTCTAGAGAACCGAGCGGGGACCATACAGTTTACACTTTACTTTAAACCATCCGAGATATAGTGCGGGCACCATACCCCATCATCTGCGGGTAATTGCGTTTTTTTATAGTGGTTAAATACTGAATATGTGTTATGACTGGGAAACTAATATGGCTTGTAGTAATATACTTAAGTTTTTACATCCACTGAAATTACTGGAAACATGATTTTTTTTAAAAACCTGTTTTTAAGTGTATTCCGTCATCATACTTTTATTAGGGGCTACTATTTTTTTCATGTTTCACATTTCTTTTCTGCTAAGGTTTCTAAGTAGATTACTGTACAACACTAATCGTGATTTCAAATCAAATTAGACAGAGCATGAATTTTGACACAATTCTTTTAAAAACAAAGTCTCAATCCCATTCTTCTCCAAACGAACAGTGAAATATCATAATAATCATTCCATTCCATAGGGAACTAGTGTAAACAACCGATATAAACTCAATGTTAAAAATAAGTACAAATACAATCCAAATAAGCAGACATATACTTTGGCTATTTCAAACCCAGACAGCTGATTGATGAGCTTATACAAGTGAAAATCAGCAATAGCTGCAAAAAAACCATGTAGAATTTGAGGTGATTTCATTATCATCCACTGTGAATCAGCACCAAGAGTAGCAATCACTTTATAGATGAAGCTAATCAAAAGCGGATGAACAGGACTCCGAAGTGCGATTTTTGGTTCCCATTCCCAAGTGAGTGCTCCATATCTGCATAGAGAGAAAAACAATCAACAAAAGCAATTTAGTTAACGACACAAGATCCTACATTTACGGAACTTCTAATTTCGTCCAAGTAAATTTGTATTAAACATCATCTTCCAAAAAATGTCTCAGAAAAACTAAACTAGAAAAACCTTGGTGAAATGCAAGTGTCCATTAGAGGGCCCTTTTTCAGATGAATATATGGCGCCCATTAAGTAACTTAGTAGTCTAGAGGATGGTGGTTGAAGGAACATATGATTTAGTTAGAGTCTAAACTAAGCTGTCAATACCTTCCCTACAATACTAATAAAAACAATCGATAACAACAATTAGTGACTTGCTAGCCACTATCCATCTCTGCTTACCATGCTTGTGAATTAAGGTATATCGAGGCAATACGCACAGTATGCACATATGCCAATTAGAGACTGACCAGTAGCAGTCCTAAACACATCGATGGGAAGATCCAAACAAACAATACTAAGTGAATTCAAATGTGAACCCTATTTCGATAAATTTCCAGAAAGAAAAGTAAACTGTATGTGAGTCTCGCAATAAACCAAATCCCAAAGTAACATTTATTGTGATTCATATGATCGTGATTGAAATTAACAAGTGTAGTGAAAACTTCAACCAACACCCTTTCCTGTTTATGCTCTGTAATTCTTGAAGTTGTATTTTAGTTTAAAAACCTTATCTGTTTATTGGGCTAAACGACCTCAGAACATTCAGCTACAGGTAATTACTTCCAATTGAACATATATTGTCATAAAGCAAATCACATACATCAAATTTAAAGTATCCTAGTGAGGACAAGGCTTTACTTAGTGTTTTAATATTATTAAATTTTCTGAATGTTTCAGATATCTATTAGTGTACTCAGAACAAAGACTTCATCAAATATATACATTTCTCATAAAAGCTCACAGATTTCAAATATAAAAAATGTGTACAAGTAAACTAATAGAATGGAATTAACTTTAATCATGCTGTGTTTCAAGCTTACCCAAACACCCATTTGTGTGCGACTTCAATAGATTGCCAATATTCATCTGGTACATAAGATGTTTGTATTAATAAAGCATTAAAAAATCGAAAAAGGAGTAAGCATACGAATAAACGCGAAGAATTCCTGAATATCACTTCCATACAATGAAAGATATTACTAAAATAATAAAAAACAATTAGTTCAGGACAATATTGCATTCTGGAAGATTTGTGCTAAAAATAAAGTACATAGACAATGACAAACAGACAGCATCAACATAGAGCCTGGAATAAATGTGCGTTGGCCTAAGTTGCCACATCTGATTAGTACCATCATATAAAAATAAAAAATTTAAATAATGTAGAAGCAGTCTTAGGAAGGAAAGAATAAACTTTGAGAATCTGGTTTGAAAATGCAGTGGATAGGTGTGTATGAATGGACACTTAGTTTGAAGATGGAGAGGAAGATTGAAAGTGAATGATTCTGAGATAAGTCTTTCGACGTATCCAATCACTGATTGTAATTATCAAGCGAACCTCGGTAACATGACTCAGACTTCATGGACTGATCTATGGTGTTGGCTTGACCGCCTCTTTATTCCAACATACTTCTGCATTAACAGGCATAACTCGTTGAAGTAGGCGGTGGTCAAACGTATGTAACAAATATACCAACTATCTCAATAGGTAAATCATTACCGAATCAATAAACTTGCCATCATGGCAAGTACCTTATGCTTAACCTCAGTATTACTCGCTTTGTGGTTCTCCTAAACGCAAGCGATACTTCAAAGATACCTATGATCATAAACCAGCTAGCCCATGTCTTCTGCTTTAACAGAACACATTTTTTGGTCATAAAGTAATACACAAATCACTGCTGACCAGACAGATATCTCTCACCAATACAACAAGTGATACGATTTGGTAAGGGTCGGTCGAGATTTCGTCAGATACCAACCAGCCAGGGCTGACGAGAACTCCAAGATAAGTGAAGGCTTCAACCAACGCATCTTTTCCATTCCCTACCAACAGTTCAGTAGTTAACGCAGACTAATACTGAGGCGACATTTTGGATTTAAAAGGAGGAACACGAACCCCAAATATGACAAAACTTGCTCAAGGTGATCAGAAGCAGCAATTGTAAATCTTGGGTGATGACTCAAACTTCGAATGGAGTAGAAAGACCATCACTAGTAAACGTATCAACAAACCATGACATTTCTATTACCTTCACTATACTTTCATTTAGACGGCGATTTTTAAATTGTCGTTTGTTTTTAACAGGCACCAGATTCAAGCATGAAAACAGATATCATCTACCCTCTTGACTCCAGACATCAGCACAAAGATAGACATATATCATATAGCTAGTTATCACGGATCATTGAAGTCGACTGAATTTAAAATGATGAAGACGAGCTGATCCCGACAGGTTAAGTCTACAGATCGTTAAAGACAAGAGTCCAGCTTAAACTGGTTTTTGAAACTAGGTAGAGTTTGTGATCGAGACGTATTTTTACTCCACAGGCTGTGGTCGCTGATTGTACCAGTGCATGAGAAATTAAAAGAAATTCTTCATAGAGCAATCAGTCGGAATAATATTTTGTTTAGGATATTAGCATCAATACTCATTCGAAACACAGGGGTCACAAAGAGCAAAGGAGAGAAAATCGAACTCACTCCAGAAGTAGATATATAACGATAAATATTCATCATCCATCAGGTTTTGAAAGAAACATATTTACCCATCTCCAATTGTAATCTTATCTATTAACTCTATTAATCGACAGGTCTTATTTTAATGTCTGCCGTTGAATGTTTACTAAAAAGGTACATTTTTTATTTATTTGAATGCCCATTTGATATTTTAATGATTTCTCAACCCAATACTAAAATAGACGAGGTTTTTAAATAAAGATTTATGTTGACTATAGGAAGTGCAAAAATAAATAACGTCGACTATACTTATTTTGAACGTCTAGTTAATACAATGGCTGGTGAAATCTTGATAACGGCACGGAAAGTTCAATTGGCTTTTACCAACTTACGTAACCTGTTGGACAGCCGATATATCTAACTGCCGACCAATGGGTCAATATACTGTACCGCAGTTCACTGTTTTATTTTACATCTGGCCTATCAAAAGTAGAAATCCTCAAGCTTCAAGTATTTTATCATCGGTGTCGTCGAAGGATTAGTTGCATATTGTGAAAATACATAGTGAGTAATGTTGAGGTTAGACGTAAAATAATAGAGATGGAAAACCAGTTGATGAAATCGAATTGCCATCAACTACGGTGGGTGTGACATGTGTTACATATACCAAAGATTGTCTGCCTTGTTACACAATAAATTCTGATATGAGAATAGGTGAGGACAAAATCTACAGGCACGAGTTCATGAAGGCATAAACTGTTACCTTGAAGGATATTGGTCAGTGAAGAAATATAAGTAGATACCCGCGTGAGAGCCGTGATCTACAGCTGCAGACATCATATGATCGAAAATCGGCCGCATTGGCGCAGATGTGTTCACTTTCATATCTCACTTGAGTTTAAACACTACTTCATACTTTTGATTTTCTCATTTCTTCTTTCTGAAGCATATATACGTTTGATCTATTTTTAATAACACTTATATTACTACTATCTTCGTTATTTAGCTTGCTAGTTTTCTCTTGATGTGCTGATGTTCCAGGTTCTACTTTGATAATGACCGACTGATAAAAAGTATTATTGAATTATGTTAATATACACTAACTACATAATTAACAAACAGATGATAAAATGAAAACACAAAATTTATATCGAAAATATTTATTTTTTTAATTGAAACTTTCAATAGATTCATAATTAAGAGAACTGTTTCGTGATCGTTTACTTTCTATTTCGTCATTAACATTTTTATGACAGTTTACACCATTTAGATTTCGTCCAATATCAGATATATCTATACCAACACTTTTGAGAGCATCACATGCCCACGTTGGAGGACGATAACCTTCATATTCACTTCGGCTTTCGTCTTCTTTACCTTTATAACAGCGACGTTCGAAGAAGGAATGAACAAACTCAGGGAAAGTATTGGCACTTATCGCTTCTCTTATTTGTTTCATGAGACCCAACATATAAGCTAAGTTATGCAGACTAATAATTGCAGAAGAACTAACTTGTCGACCAGATAGTGCTGAATGTAACCAAGCTCGAGATAAAGGACGAGAGCATGTAGGACAAGAACAATTTTCATCGATAGGACGAAAATCAGTTGCATATTTGGCTTGACGAAGATTTAACTAAAAACAGAGAACAGAAAAACAAGGTGATGTTTCCAGTATTTTAGAAAATCAGAGGTATTATATTTATTTTCAAACGGGAAAAATCTCAATCCAATACTGCTATAGGGTTTTATCATATTCTATTGGATTTACCACTTACCATCCTGTACAGAATTATGGGAGGAAGGTGGTGCATTACTGTATTAACCGTTTCTGATAGCCATTTAGATTTTACTAGATATACTATCCCGCAAATCAAAATAATATGGAATAGCTTTATTTGAAAGATATGATGATTCAAAGTTTTAAAGAAAAACCAATAGACAATTTATGTTAGTTATGGAATGAACTTTTATTTCATGACAAAATATAACACTTAGTAGTCCAAGAGGAAAAGCAATCAACCATTTTACCTGACCCCAAGGAACAAGAGCGTTACCAAATCGACCGGTTCTTGTAGGATAAACACAATCAAACATATCACATCCTAATGCTATACATACAACAAGATCAATAGGGAACCCAACTCCCATGACATATCGAGGACGATCAAGAGGTAGATGCTCTGTTGATAGCTTAATAATACGCCAAAAATTATCTTTTGATTCGCCACCACTAAGACCACCAATAGCGAATCCAGCCAACTATAAAGAAATAAAAAAAATTCAATGAAAGCTAAGATACTATTTATGTTGAAATACACTTAAATATGTTGAATGGTTCAATATCCAAATGACCAATAAATACAAAACAAAAACCAAACTCATGTGATAAGTTTTCTTTGCTCATAAAATTAATTGAACCAGTTGATTTCATCATATATGACTGATCGATGACTATGGAATTTTTGGACATGTTCATTAAACAAGATGAATGGAACATAGGCCCAACTACTTACCAACAATTAGATATTTTTATGTCAACATTTCAGTCAGTTTGAAAAAGGGAACTGCATTCCCGTAATTCGCATAGTTGTCTTCCTGATTAGAAAAAGCTCAGGATGGATTCAAGCACTTTATACCCTATACTTTCAATAAGTTATTTTGTTTTGTTTTTTGAATCTCAACTATTTTGGTAGTTATTCAGTTCACTTACAAAACTAGTTTTGTTATTATAAAACGTGATTAATTAATTAACAATCTAATGTAATACGTTATTAAATAAAGTATTGCTGACTTTATCTTTACGTTTCAACATTTCATTAATGCAATCAATTCTCATTGACGGGTCCAAACCACCTTGAGTTATAGCAAATAAATTCTGATTACTTTCCTGACTTTTATGGGCAGTAATACTTCTAAAAATAAAAAAAGACAAACATCATAATCTAACTCAAATGAAATGTCATCATGGATTTGACAAACATCTCTCAAAAATAAACATATGAACAGACAATGTATGCATGAGGTTACAGGTTTATCTAAACCATTACGGACAGTAAAAATGATTATAGACCAACAATACTGAACAAGCTAAGTGCATGTAAAATCTCATTGTTTGTGAGAGATAATGATTACAATTCACTAGTACATTTCGCCGTATGGATGACTCATTTATCGGAAAGAACTAGAAAACTTGGCGACATTATATAAACAGTCCGTATTATTATTATTATTATTAATTAGACTATCCGAGAAAGCTTTCAGTCAGTCAGCTACAACTTAGGACCAGGCACATATATGCATCGGTCCAAGTTGCCATACCTCATTAGCACAACAAGATCAACACCGGATTCATAGTAGTTAATTTAGTGGTGGTGGTATATAAATTATAGGTTGTATATACGGATATAGTACAGGAAGGAAGAACGTTATGAAGCAATTTTAATCTCAAGGTTTAAGGGAAGATAAAGAGTGTATACACCTACACCATTGTGATCGATTCTGAGCCATGTCACCCAGAGTCTCCAACCATTGGTTACGATAGTCACGCGGACCCCAACCAGGTAGTCTGCATCTACCAACAGGGCTCAGACTAGAAGTTAGTGATTTCAAGCACTGATGCCATGTTTTGGTTTGGCCGCCCCTAACTCTTTTCCAACCATCCCCTACACTGGTCAACATTGCGCGTCGTGGTAATCGGTGTTCAGGCATACGTAACAAGTGGCCCAACCATTTCACTCGATGAAGATTCATCACCACATCAACTGATTTACCATCATTCCCTAATACCCTGCGTCTAACCTCACTATTACTTACCCGGTGATCCCAGCAGATGCGAGCAATATTTCTAAGGCATCTGTGGTCAAATACTAGTAACCTACGAGTATCTTCTACTCTTAATAGCCATGTTTCACAGCCGTAAAGTAGAACAGAGCGAACTGCTGCACAGTATACTCGTCCCTTAATTGATAGACGGATATCTCATCTTCGCCATAAGTGACGTAAGTTGGCAAAAGCCAAACGAGCTTTTTGAATCCGTGCTGAGATTTCGTCAGACACCAACCCATTGGGGCTGATCACACTTCCAAGATAAGTGAAGTTGTCGACGCGTTCCACTACTTCACTCCCTATCCTTAGTTCAGGTGTTGACGCAGGCCAGTCCTGGAGTAACAATTTACATTTGGATGGGGATGGGGGGCAAGTGGTTTTGTAGTCAAGATATTTGAATGTTAACAACTAAACTAGAGATTTACACCTGCCATGCCGACTTCTGTTTAGGGAAGAGAATAGCTCTACCACCTTTCAAACAAAAGCACAAAACTATATACATACATGGTTACTGAGCCTCATAAATATTAAACATAATCATCAGTAACGTAAGGATCTCCACTATTGTTTCAACAGCTGACAGCCAATTTAAACAATCCATATTAATTATTATTATCATTAGCTTTATTCAGTATTATATTTTTGGTACAATATAGAGTTCTCAGCACAGAGTATCTCAACAAGTTTCCGTTTCTTAATTCTTCATCGATACTAACGACAAATATTGAGTGATCGCCAGTTAGAAGTTAGCAGTCCAGTCAATCGACATCTAAATAATGTACATTCTTTTCTCTGCATATTGCCAGCAACCACGATATCTCTGATTGGGTCTTCGTAACTTGTACAACGAAATTCTGTACATTTTCAGAAACGCACCTGAATAGGTTATGCGATTAGTAGCCATAATCATGTATTAAAACAAACAAAACTACATAACTTGTTGAAATATCTAGATAGAAGAAACAGGCCGTCTTTAACTAGCTTATTGCTATATACAGATAAATATTTAAAACTTGATAAACTATTTCATAAGTTTCAAACTCAGAATCATCATCCTATGCTGAAGTATGAACATATACACGATTAATAAAATTGAAAAAACGCTAAAAACCAATCAGTAAAACAAACACGTACCTATCTAACCAACGGACAGATCTTTCCATTGCTTTTTTCATAGATTTGTCATCTGTTAGCACATGCACGACGTGATCCAACTGCATAACAATATCTGAACCCAGTGCGTTTTGAAAATTTCCAACAGACTCTTCGGGAGTTAAGAGCATTTCAGTATGATTATGTGGAGAAGTAAATCGGACGCCTTCCTCAGTAACTTCGGACAATTTGTTTAGTGAAACCATTTGGAAACCTCCTGAATCTGTAAGGATGGCACGAGGCCAAGACATAAACTTATGAAGCCCACCAGCCTAAAATTAAAACCAGATGTCGGGATCAAATATGCAAAACAAAACCAGGAAAATATAGAAATGGAAGGAAAAAATTGATGACACCACCATGCAATAGTAAGCTAAAGATATCTACATTGAAATCATCAATTGCAAGGTTAAGCACTCAGAAATAAATCAATTTACTTAAAGTAGATATTGATCCGATAGGGATAATGCAAAATTGTTGGGTTTTTTATGTGAAAATAGCTTCTATATTTGATTGATTAATGTATTATTTTGGTTATACTATCTTGGTTGTATATTTTGTGCATAAATGACAGCTTCATGAGACCAAGATACCAGTAAGTCAATGATTTCATCTTCGATACGCATGTATTTAGAATACATGACTCGGTCTAGTAAGGCAAACACCTAATTGACTGGCTCAGTCTAGTAATCATCGACCAATAGCAATTGAAACATTTTATCAGTTGACGGTTCAGTCATAGCACATATAATGTAACATGAAACGCCATGGCACAAAAAGTCTAACCTTGATGTGCCAGTAAAACTACTATATAAGGTGGATAGTGTCCGTTTTGCTACTGAACTTAGTGTTATGCCCTGACCACCGCTTACCATGACCCACAATGCTGGCGGATCTAGGAGCCATCCGAAAGGAGAAAGGTCATCAGCCTCCATAATCAGTGACTCCCGATCTGATTCATATAAGGAGACTTGGGATTTCTAGTTGAGGTTTATTTAATTGTTATAATCTACGGTTAAAGATGTGATATGGACCAAGACTGGTTAAAATGATGTGGTTGCAGTCATTCTTTACCCTCCTCTATATTTTAATCTTAGTTGTTATTGTGTAATTTAGATTCTTCCATTTTATTTGTTCCTTTCGAACAAAGCACTTAAATCTCCAAACTTCCACCTAATTAGATATAATTATTTCCTCTTCACTTTATCTTGTTAATTTCTTATCTCTATCCATAGGAGTGGTATGTGTCAACCTGTATCATTAAACATTAATCCAAATGGCTGTAACTGATTATATTAAGCATTGAAAATAACATCAAGATGAATATCAAATAATGGAAAATCAAGTTGGAAAATTTATAAAATCATACCTTTCTGAGAACTTCTGGTCCTGGGCGATGCCCTAAATGATAAGTATTTCCAAGTAAAATCCGACAATCCAACTGTTCTAACTGACCTACAGTGATACCCTTCATAGCACCTTGTGTACCGACCGGCATGAAAACTGGAGTTTCTACTGGTCCACCAGGACAATGTGGTAACCAAAGATTACAGCATCGCGCACGAGTTTGAGAACATTCAAATAAAATATCGAATTGAAGTGCTGAACTCGCTTGAACACTTAAACGCGGCATATGAGGATTGAAATAGGAAACTTTAAATGAAAAATAAACAGTGTCATTGCGAGTGGAAAATACGTAGACTATCATAAATAGTTAGAGTATGATTAATATCATCTTGGTTCAATACTGCTATTTTCCAATTTATATTGAAATTACTAACTATCAGAAGGTAAACAGCTGATTAAAGAAAGTAAGTTATAATATCTGAAGGACTATTCATAAGGCGTTACTATGAAATGAAGTCAATCAAAACCAGTATTAAAAAAAACTAGATGTTTATTAGAACGGCATACGATTAAGTGGGTTTCAGTTATGAAAATATTAAACAGAATCGATAGAAAACAAGGAAAAAGACTTAATTCATAAATTGAACAGAAAGAGAGATGTCTTAGGGATCGCAATAATTAGACAGATTTGTATAGTGACCAAAATTCAGCAGGAAATAACACACGAAAAATTACTTATGGATTAGTTGGCTGGCACAGTCTGCTTAACATAACAACAATGATCATAGACACAGTTATCAAGCAAAGGTCATGAATCACACAACACGCATCCAAAATATAAATAAATCAAAAAGAAAATAAGATAGAACGCAAATATATATTTAACATTCATTTGTTAGATGAAACATTTATAAATTTACCACAAAGCCTTAAAGAATTAGAGTTATCAGTTGAAAAGAATGTGAATGAGATTCAGAAAAAAATTTACTCCGCACTTAAATTCAGTCATTGCTTTCTGAATATATTAAAATTATGATGCACTTATTAACGTTATTATTAGGTCGTCAAACAGTAAGGGGAAGCGAATGCACTACTCAAAGAAATCGGATGATAAACATCACTGATTAAGGTAAACAGGATTCACTAACATAACTTAATGTTAACGAACGTTTAACTAAACGGCCTTTGTTTTGATTATGACTATCATATGATTGTATGGTATTTCCTAACCATTCATTTCCAATTTTCCCAGAATATTGGAATAGAATTTCGGAAACTACATCATCCTTATTAATTAACAAAACACAAGTTATTTTAGGAAACACAGAATCTTATTTTACATAATCAGGTTTGCCTTATCTGCTTAACGGTAACATACCAAAATACGAAGTGGCGGAAAAGTTATTTTTGCATTAACTAGCACTGAGACGAATCGTATTCACAATCATTTGATATCTTTCGTTCTCATTTCTTTTATATTACGTAACTTATCTACTCCCTTTTATTCTCATTTTGTGTATTCTTTTATTTTTCAACTTATAAAGCAACTCGCCTATGGCGGAAACTCTGTTCTATTTAAACGATCTCAAGTCAATGATCGGTTGGAAGTTGAATGCTACCACCGAAGATGAACACTGAACCAGTCTTTCTGAAACCACATATACCATTCAAACTGACCTCACTCAACATTCGCACACCCATGCAGATCAGATAACAGATGGAGTTGTCTATGTCTTTCGAAAGTCTCGACATAGATATCTGTCGCCTGTTCACGAACCGGATTTAAGACTCGAGTAAAGTATTACAAATTCATTCTCCAACTGTCGCTTTAAAATCTTGTTTCATATGCGTTTATTCGGTGACCTTGTAGCGTCTTCATCTGGTTTTGCTGGCGTTGGTGTCACACTAAGCAGTAGAATTGACACAGCACCAATCTACTGAGTCCCCATTACCAGTCAGTTATGTGCCGTTAGATTAGAAAGCTCCATAAAACTGCGAAGAAATCGATGTGAGAAACGATGTTCTTTTGTCAGATCAGCTGGTCAGATCGTGAGAATAAAATGGAATGTGGTTTATGAGGTGTCAGTTGGCTCAGAAGTTTGGATACGTCATGCTAACCAATTGAAAGCAACTTCGATAGCCAGTAACGAGACGCGAAATCGAATGTCTCTTGATGTTCTGCTAGACACCTTTGAAATACACAGGTCAGTTTCTGTGCAAGCAAAGAGTGATACAACTTCCTTATTGCCTAGACGATGGACAAATCGAAAGCACAGGCCAGTCACTCGGTTGCAGTTGGACCCTAGCATCAGATCCTACGAATCTGCTCAAAGAGGTGTAAGCGGGACATAGATTGGATTAAAGTATATTCCATGCACGATTGTGCTGGTGCACACTGATTGGCTAATTTTTATCCAATCGCCATACTTATAACATGCCAAATGTCACAGTGTTTCTTATCATCAGGGTCGCCTTCCACTCGTTGGACAGGACTGTTCTCTGGGATTGTCTATTGAAGAAGGGTGTGCCTGAGAAGTTTATTAACATCCCAAAAGCCCCATATACTAACACCTCAGGCAGAGTGAGGAACACAACCACCTCTCTCCGTCGTTCCATTTACGAAGTGGGGTTAGACAGGGTTGCCCAATCTCACCACTCCTCTTCAACTTTTCCATCGATGACATTTTGGAAACAGCTCTAATGGATGCAGATAATTATGGTGTCGATCTGTTGCCTGGAGAAAGACTTCTCGACTTTGAGTATGCGGACGATATTGTCTTACTATGCGACGATACCCAAGCCATGCAATCCTCACTTAATCAGTTGGCAATCAGTGTCCGTAGGTATGGTATGTGCCTTGCACCCTCTCATTGCAAAGTACTTCTACAACACTGGCAGGACCTTGAACCTGCACTCACTCTGGGTAGTGAGCAGATAAAAGTATTCGAGAATTCCATGTATCTAGGTAGCTGAGTAAGTGTTGGTGGTGGTGGCGTGAGCGACAAGATCGATTCACGTATAGTGAAAACCAGAAAGGCTTATGCCAATCTTTGTCACCTTTGATACCATCGTAATCTTGGTCTGGTTGTAAAAGGTCGGATCTACAACGCGTCGGTGAGAGCAGTTTTGCTCTATGCTTGTGAAACCTGACCTCTCCGAGTTGAAGATGTTAGACAACTTTCTGTGTTTGGTTTTCATTGTCTTCGAAGGATTTCTGAAATCCAGTGGCAACACCATGTTAGCGATGAGGAGGTTCGCCATCGTGTATTCGGGCAGAGCGATGACAATTCAATTGGTGTCATTATCTTGAAACATCGACTTCAGTGGCTTGGACATGTCTTACGAGTCTCATCCCAAAGAATTTCACATCGTGAATTATTTGCCGACGCTGGGACCGGTTGTAAAAAGCCGAGAGGTGTTCAGCGTATGACATGGTTTCGTAGTATGACAGAAGTCTGTACAGGACTGACTTTTGTTAGTCCTTCACGACTCCCTCGTTGGGGTTCTGGAGATGGGACAACACAGTAGCTAGGGACCTTATCAGACATGAATCAGAATAGAAGCCGGTGGTTATCCTGCTGTAACTTTACTATCTTCATAAAAAATGGACGTAACTTCTTTAACTGGAAGAATTCTTTCTGGTTATATTTTTTCTAACTGGACTGCTCCCATTGTTATTATTATTTCACTCTCATACGCTAATTTCTGTTCATTGCTGTTCTTCTTTTTATCATACTTACTCTTCATTCTCTGTCTCTTTACATCAGTTTTATGGTATTATCATTAACAATCGTTAGCTATTTCTTCTATGTACCCTGGAAATGAGTCAGTAATTAAAATTTCATTAGACTCAGACAATCCCATCAGTTGTCTCTATTTCCGTAGTGACAATCAAATATAATTTGTCTACCAAAAACAAATTTATTTACGCGGCTTTAAGTCATACGTTGTAGGAAAGCTATCATTTAGCGCCCAAACCGAAATATGTAGGTCAAGGTTCAAAAACGGGACTTGTCGACTGAAAGTTGGATGGTTCAATTACTAACCACATGATATACAATTATCAAAAATCATAAATCGCTAATACAAGAGCTTGTAAAAATAAGGTGGAAATTTTAGTTCATTCGTTGCTTCTTGAATATTTGCCAAAGAAAACCTGTGAGAAACTATAATAAACCAATTAAAATAGGTGAATTTATGCAAACTAGATTCAATGGACTAAGTATTATGTACACAAAGCACTAGATTGCCAAATATCTATGTCTTAGCAAAATCGTTAAATAAGTGTTGTCTATGCGGAGAAGTTAAGAGTATAAATATATTTTATAATTTAATACCTGAAAATCTATTTTAGAACTGAGCCTGTTTATATTAAATCAGCAGATGGATTCAAAATTACGCTTTCGACGAGTTAGTTTAGGTTTCCAAAATGTATGAAATCTTCTATTACGTGTAGATCTTCTAAGCGCTGGAACTGAATCCCCTGAATTAAAAAGGACGAAATCTTGATTTGAAGGAGTAATATCAGTGCATAAATTCATATCCAATTCAGTATTGATTTTCTGTGAAACGAAAAACTTCTGTCGTTTATTGGCTCTAAGACGAATTCGACGTGCTCGTTCTTGAATTGACTTGAGAGGAATACAAATTAACCGGTAAAGGTGGAAACAAATGAAAAAAATAAGTCAACAAAAAATCTACAACAAATAAATTAAAAATCGTCAAGGGTGTTGTATCATCAAGATTTCTCAGGACTAGGCGTCATGTTTCCTGGAACTCATCAGTAATATATACCCCTAACCTAGCGGCAACTGCTATTATTTCAAAAATTTTAAGCAGAGCAATCAGTTTCCTCCAAGGTTATAAGAGCGCTTCTGTGATGAGCCTTAACAAACCAGACATAATTCTAATTACGTTAAGTAAAACGCGTAATAATGTTGAGTAATTATTGTATTTTGTAGTCAAATTCAGTTACTAATCTGAGTTCTTTAAAACTTCACCAACCTAGCTAGCCAGAGTGACAATGCCAAGATTGTTTAGGGAGCTCTACTCCCAAAGACGAATAACAACACAAAAAAACTAATTCGTACGTATATGCTGCTGAAATAACCCAGCCAGGCATATATGGACTGGAACCTCAATTAGATAAAGAATTCTCCTGCTTATAACAGCGCGCTCAGTCTTAGGAGAGCATGTGGTTCATACGGCCATGTCAAAGATATAATTGGTAGCGTCGGTAGCCAAATAAATAGCAATAGTTACTACTCGGAGGTTGTAAAGACAACTGTTTCACTGAATACTAAGCCATTAGTGTGGTCGGATAGGGTTTATTAAAGTATATATATATCTTGTGGCTTCCGATATTACGTCTCAGTGGAGCAGCAGAGACGAAAACACAGACGTCGCTTTTTTATCAAACAGCCGTTTAGAGTCCTCTAAAGGATCCTAGAAATTAAAATACTGTCCAGAAAAACCTTCTGAATTAAAAGCACACTCTTGAAAAGTTTTTAAACCTTCAACAACAAAAACGACCATTCCCAAACTGTATATAATCCCTCGAATCATAAAGTTAACAAGACCTCATCAACAAAAGTTGATCGACTTAGTAATATCCTAGGCCATCATAACCCATAGGCAGTAGACAATCTTTCAGAATTATACACCTTAAGCCAACTGAATAAACTATACGTGGTCTTCACACGTAAAGACCTATATAGCCTATATAAAGCTCAGAGTCACCAGTTTGTCCCATGTAGTTTCAATCTACCCTCATGTTACGAAGGATCTGTAAAGTTTGATAACATTCCTCCTCAGTTTATTGATTATATTGATGAAGGGCTTTTAGGCTATGCACTATTTTCTCTAGAGCCTCACAAACCCTTCATCATCCCTAACAGCTAAAAAGATTTGAAGAAAGGAATATTCCTTACCCACACAATAATTTCTTTTAGACAACAGTAATTCCAGATTTCTCTTGTACTCTAGACTGTTTGGACTAAAACTCAATAGATTAAACTTATAAAGCAAACCAACATCTAGTCACTCCTAAGAAGCATAACATTAGCAAAGATTTTGACCGTTTTTCCACAACTCATAATTTTTTTCTGGACTTATTACTTATTAATGCAGGTTCACTTTTAAATAAGACATGTATCTCAAGGACCGCATCTCTGTTACCTGAACCATTGTTTTGTTGTCACAGAATCATGAAATTTTTATCCAGTTACTGATTCAGAGCTAAACATTAAAAACTACCTATTATATCGCTCCAACAGAGAGGATAAACATGGATATCAATTATATGTCCTGGATTTTCTATTAACTAATGAAGTTGGATAAAATGTTCCCAGTAGTGTGATAGAATTAGTTTGAACCTTATTTAATACCTTGAGCATTAGTTTACCCCTCGTTTGTGTATACAGAGCTCCGAACACTTAAACTAATGTCGAAGATCTTGTTAATGCATTTCTACATCCCTCTTTTCTAAAATTTTGGTGAGAGAGTCATTGCAAGAGAACTCAATTTTCCAGGAATAAATTGAACTACTGGCAGAGATCAGTAATGTGATGAATAATTTTTCACGGTATAAGTAAACTGTTGGTCGCAGCGGGTTTATATCTCAATGAGACATAACAACACCCTTGGCCCAGTTTTCTATAGAAATAACACCCCGGTACCAAAAAAATTAAAATATTTTAAAGTAGTGACCAAATATCTTTTCGTGCTCTTCTCATTACTACCAACCTTTCCAATAACCTTCTAAATCTAATCCCTATATAAATTACTTTACAATCTACCATTATCTTTGAAATTGTTGAGGATGTGTAATCCTGAAATATAATCTATGAGGAAGGAGGCTAACATCAAATAAAGTGAATTTAGGGTGAATATAAGGGCAAGTTTCAACACATTTTCGTTGCATTACTATATGCACCTTCAATATATTTTTACTATCATTATGTTTAGCGACAATCATACAGTTTATGAATTTTTATCCTTGTAACTGATAAATAACCGATTAACTTTAATGCATTTTTTATTCTACTGGGGTCATCACAAACAAAGTTCCCATTACAACACCGGACTTTTTTCTCTAGTTAGCGAGGCGGAGGAGAAAAAAAAAGTAGTTCCCTTCACTGTGTTGGAGTTATGGTTGTGAATATATTAGTGTAGAGCACGACTATGTCAGAAATACATTCACTGTCATCGCTTGCACAATACATCGATATTTTTCGCTCTTCTGGTACTGTCTTGAAAAAGAATTACATCAGCAATTATATCTCACTCCACTAGTGAAACTATAGGGACTTTAAATGTGTGAACAATGTTACGATTACGCACAATTATTAGACTTTCCTAGATGTTGACGTATTATCTGTTGACGATATTACAGTCTTATGTCGTGAATCCCTTACGTTATTCTTAGCAAGCCCCAAACCTTGCCCTAATTGGGTCGTTTCGTTATTATAAGAGTATGTAAAGAACAGTTTATTAGTTTAAATGAAACAAATTATTATCAGTATGTTACGGAACAATCAAGTAGATGCATAACGATAGACATATGACGGTAAATTTCAGTGTTTTTCTATGCTTAGTTATTGTAGATGATACTAAGTACCCTATAAAGAAACTGGGATAGCTTTTCGCTGCAATATTCACTCGCAAACACGAAGCTCCAGTCCTCCTTATAAGAAAATACTTATTCCTAACCTATGTATCTTCAGTGACATCTACCATTTCAAAAAGCTTATGATGTTTTATCTATGCCACTTCCTTTGCGTCCTTCTTACAAAGATTATTAAAGACAAATCTTGCTTACAAGACTGATTACTTTTACGATGTATAACTCATAACAGTGTTGTTCTCCGAAATCCTATGACCTATGATGATGCATTTCATTTACACCATATGATTCACATTATTAAAATTTTCGTGAAAAATATCCAATGAAGACAATTTATAGATCACGTCTTTTTGAATAATCTACCTTAACTTTTTAATGTTGCATTTCTTTTGTATTAATCATATCCTGTTTGTATACTGGCACCTGGCATGCATTCTGAAATTATTTTCAGAATATACATAATATTATATTTTAAAAAACTTCATAAATCCCTGTTGAACTACTTAGTATTTACCGTCAAAAACAACTACTTCCAAACATTCGTTTTCGTTTTGTTAACTTTCGCCCTCTATATTGATGGGTTGGACAATTTAAACCAACATAGATTCCGAAAGATATTATGTGGACCAACTAATCATCAAAGCTTAGTGAATATTCTCTAACCGTGAATGGTCATTGAATCGAGTGTATAGTATCCAGAATATCATGTACGAAAAAAATTAGGACTTCAAAAGTAAAAGTCTAAAATAGTTAAGTACAAACTCTAAAATATATAACTAACCTGTTGACACATCAACTCGTGGTCACTGAAAAACTTTTGTTTTTGAAAGCTTTTGCCACAAAATTTACATACAAATATTTTAGGTGAAGCATTCTTGTTAGATTCTATGTGATTTCCATGCGATAGCATACACTTCTCTAGTTGAAGAAGAAATAAGGCTGTTTTAGAAGAGTCACCACCACTGAAAGACGAATCTGTATTATGCAGCAAGGAAACAGCATTAATAGTGTCATCATTCGCAGTTTTTTTGGACAAGGTAGATTTGAATACTGAAGGATTCATTAGACTTGAATGTGTTTCAGACAAATGGGTATGGATATGTTTAAGACTTTTGCAAATTTTCACACAAAACGGGCACCTGTAATAATCCAGAAAAATAACGATATCATAATTGTTAGGAAACATATGAAATGCTTAACTAAATTAATTTTATGCTAATCTCCATTTACGTGAAAAAGTGAATCCAACATTATGAGAACCACCTCAATCGGAGTACTACTATGGAGCGTCAAAAGAACTTGGAATGGGCAAGAACTTTAAACTTTCAGGTTATAAGTGAAAATTACATATCTTAAGAATCTCAGGTTGTCAGTTAACACTCGCCACTACAAATTAGTAAACTTACTTGTCGATCAAAAGAAACGCTATTCGATTACTGAATAGTAATTGTCTCATCAAACCTAGTTCTTAGTGATCATAGGACTTTAAAAATGTCTAAAGTGATTTTAATATTAAGTGATTCAGTACTGAACTCTGAAAAGCTCAGTGATGTTTTCGACATCAGTATACAAAACAGTTCCAAATATCCAGAGGAGCATCAATTACCGTGATGTAAACACTATGGGTGATTAAATTAAGTGTTCCTTGCCAAATGCTTCCAACCACTTACGAAGACATCTGTCGCCATGGTTCGAGATCAGTGGTCGTCATTGATTTTAAAACGACTGTATAATAGATTCAGAATTCTAGGGGAAATTGACATAACTTAATTCCTACACTCGTGACATAATTCTTATCAATACTATATTCAATGTCCAGTCAGGATTCCTAATAAACTTTAACAAATGGATCACAGGGATGATTAACCAGTACAGGATCAATTTTCCTAGTTTAAAGTAAAGATATTGCATACATGATACCAACCAGCTTTAAATATTGGATGCATCATGAAAAACAACCAGAAACAACTTAAAGGGTCATATCAGTAAAGCATTCAGGTGACAGAACACTTAAATCAGGTGCGCATGAATATAGCTATATTTCCACTCCATACTCATTCTAAGTTAGTGGAAAAAAATTTGGAACTATAAAATCAGTTGTACAATAAATGTGAAATAATTTCTTACTTGAATCCAAATAATGAATCGTCTTTTTTGAATTTTTGTAAAGGAAGTAGACGGAATGTCGGATCCGAATAATTAGCAGTACTGGAGTATTCAGTTGACGACTTTGAACTTCGTTCTCCATCCTGTGCACTAGTAGACTTATGGTGCGAAATAACTTTACGATTCCTCTTCGATAATTTACTTTCCTTTTTTCTCGATCCAATATACAGCAGGGGACAACCGGAGTTAGATCCATTACGTCGAGGTAACAAGTGTCGAACAAGATGCAAGAAATCTGCATTTTATTTTAAAGTGAAAGTTATTTCGTTTATTAGTGACGTTTTTGAAGTTTTTATCAAAGAATGTTCAAAAACTATTTGTTTGACAATTTAAGAATCAGGAAATCAAATTATGTTTAGGTCTAGCAATCAGTCAGTATATCAATATACATACTGTTAGTGACTGACAGTACATAATGTCTTCATGTCTTTTGAATCTATTTAATAACCGATTCATAGTAAGTGGTGTCTTTTCACAATAAAAACTATTTAATATTATGGTAGGATAAAACAACACATTTTACAACAGTTTTCCAACGGTGCTGAACAATGATGTTTACATTTAATACAAACTCTTAGTTTGAATTTCTACTATATCATGAAATTTCGGTAAATTAAAAACGCCGTAAGTTAAAATAACTTTAAATTGTAACAACAAAACGTTTGTAACTCTAAGGTACAATACTGCTAACTAACAGACTATTAGTCTGTTGAATAAACAGTTATTAATTGATAACATGATTTAAGAAAAATCTGCAATTTAAATAGTCATAACCTAAATTTACTTCAGAACATTAAAAAACGTGCCTTTCAAAATATTCATGGATATTAGCTTAGCACACGGATATTCGACACAAGAGTATGAAGTCGTTTGGGATTGAAAAGAATATCATATCATAGTGTGACTCATTTAGCAAGTACAGTTTTATATTACTCAGCATTGATCCACACTGTTTGCGAGAGCTAGTGATGCTGTAGTGAACAGAACACTAGTTGGGGACAATCGAATGTATTTCAGCAAAGATTACAGACTATCTCAATAAATTCTGATTACCAAACAATGAACAGTCAATTTGCAAATTAACAACCAATTGTTTCAATCTTCACTGTTTCTTCTCTAATTCCATTGCTCATGCATTTTCCAGACGATTGCGCTTCATTCCAGTTCTTTCGTCATCGGTCTTCTGCCAAAATACATTCTATGTCTGACCCACACCATATACTACTTATATGGATATAAGTAGACCACACCACACTCGTCCCCCCTTTAAAGCATTCGACCATGCGGTGGTTCTGCTCGCCACGCCACTATCCTCTTTCACTGCAGTCTGTGCCAAACTCTCCGTCAGAATGTCGAGTCTGCGGCGCGCTGACCTCCATAGCTCCGTCGACCTGCCGGGGCACCAACTTCCTCATCCACCCGGCACCTGGGACGTTCAACACCCGTACTCCACCGGCCTGCTGAGCCATCTACATCCGATGTCCGCACAGCAGCCGCACGTCCCACTGCTACTCTCCGTCGACAGCACCCACTACAGCCAACGCCGCCCCGCCAGAACACTCCACTCGACGCCACCCCTCCGCATCAGACTGCCCCAACAAGCACCTCAACTCCAGACCCGCAGCGGCGTCCGCAGAACAGCACCCTTCCTCCTCCCGGTTGGCAGCGACACCAAATGTAGTGAACAGAACACTAGTTGGGGACAATCGAATGTATTTCAGCAAAGATTACAGACTATCTCAATAAATTCTGATTACCAAACAATGAACAGTCAATTTGCAAATTAACAACCAATTGTTTCAATCTTCACTGTTTCTTCTCTAATTCCATTGCTCATGCATTTTCCAGACGATTGCGCTTCATTCCAGTTCTTTCGTCATCGGTCTTCTGCCAAAATACATTCTATGTCTGACCCACACCATATACTACTTATATGGATATAAGTAGACCACACCACAATGCTACCCGGACACGTGAAATGAGACAAGTAAACCAGGGTTTGAATCTGTGATCTACTCAGTGAAAGCTTCTTGCTTTAACCACGACGTTGCCTCTGCACTAATATAACACTCAACATTTCCTTAATCAACCAAACGACTTTCTTAAAAACGATGCATACCACGAAAACCATTTTACGATTTCCTCAGAAAGAGGTACACTGTAACCCCGTACAACATCTAACCTCTATCACAGTAACCTTATTGCTAAGAGTAGTGTAATATCGAGTTTATGGGTCAAGTACTACACTACCAATACGAAAGTATCAGTGACTGACATACTTTTGTCAACCCTAACAAGAGGACCCCTGAAACTTTGGAGCGCAAGCCACTAACTACAGGAATGGTACATAACGAATGGAAAAAAAACAAGCATAAGAACGAATATAATAAAATTCATCATAAGATTAAAATCAAAATTACCGTGAAATTTTTGGTCGCAAGTTTGACATGCAAGTTTGTCACTCCTATTAACTCGATGTTTTTCCAGCAAATGATTTAATAGACCGTTTGGTGATGAAAAAGAGGAGTTACAATCGGAAAATACACATGCATAAACCTGAAAAATAAAAATCATTTGGAAATCCTACAGAGGTTGAATACGTCAATTACGTAACACCAATATGAATCTTGAGCATATAAATTTTATTATAACACTATCATATAACGAGTCAAATAAAAATCTCTGCAACTTAACTATGAATAAGAGGTCCAGGGACTCAATATGTAAGGTAGGACAATGATGGAGTCCAGATTCCGAACATGAATTCGCCTTTCAAAGTTTGAACCTAAAGTTGACAGGATACTCATTAGACTATTACGTCATGATCGAACCTAATATATAACTCGTCCAGTCTTATTAATCCAAAACAATCAAATTTAAGATAACACATTATCAACAAATTTATGGACTAGTGTTGTAATATTACTAATAGAAGCGGGAACGAAAGAATAACGTGAACTAAGAATGACATTTTTCGTTCAAGAAAGGATTCAGTGTTGACGGTAAATTTGAAAAAACACTAACAACAAACAATGCCAAACTTACAACCTCGACAAGAGTATATATATATACGGTTGTCTAAACTGACATTACCTGCTTGTCTTTATGATGTACTATATGAGCCCGAAGTTGTATGTATGTTTCAAATCGTTGATCACAAAATCGACAGATCCAAATTTTGGGAGACACATGGCGACATGAAGTAGAGTTAGTTACTACCTATAGTAGATAGAAAACCAAAACCCATTAGTAAAGATTAATTTATACTAAACCCTTAAATTATACATGTAAATGTAATGTCTTTAACAGATAAACTGTATCTGCGGTCGTCGCGAAATGCATTTAAAAAACCTGCACATGTTCAAACATGCACAGATTCAAGTGCTTTAATGTTAATACACCCACTGTAATAAGCACATACCTGAACAAACCTAGCATAACGTGTACGGAATTATTATAAATTCGATTGGATAAGATACCCGATGTGTCTACCGTCATCTTAAAAAAAATATCAAATCAAGTTGAATCAGATGTTAACGAATGAGCTATTCACAATGATGTGGTGAGAATATGTTTACAAAACATCTCCCAAAATAATGAAGATAACCAAGAAATTTATGAAGATCCCATAGTTGTTCATAATCTTTATAAAGAAACTACACGCAAATTAGTCTATTTTGCTTTGCTCTCACTTCAGTTTGTTATTTACTCAGTTACCAATTAATCAAAAATAATTCGATAATTTTGAACAAAAGTACTTAAATTCACTGGTGGAAGTAACAAATGAGGATTTTGATCATCTGAGTAACAGTAAAATAGTCGAACTCCGCATAGATAAAACTAGAAAAGAGGCTATAAAGAGAAGTAAAGCAAATAACTTGCAAAATTCAAGTCTGATTACATCGATACCACCAAAGATCTTAGACAGAAAAACTAAATACACGGTAATCCTACAAACCTACGCTTACTTCAGTGTTTTTTGGAACCATTTCGGAATCATGGTGCCCATTGGATGCAGTAGTAGTTACAGATGATACTGGTGGCCAGGCTCTGTGACTTGAAAGATGTCGGCGAAGGTTAGAGGCTTGAGTGAATTGACGTCCACATAAAATACACTTGTAAGGTCTTTCACCGGTGTGAATACGCAAATGATCTACCAAGTGACTTGGACGTGTAAAACTCAAAGAACAATGAGTACAAATCCACTTCGATTTTCTGGAGACTGTGTTATTATTCTCAGAAATGATAGGGGGAATCACAGGTACACACTTGGCTGGGACGTTTCCCACAGATGAATACTCTGTATTGTTAGGAAGTGATTCCGACTTCGTATTACTGCAAGGGTAAACTACGGCTGGTGTGTATACAGAAGAAACATTACATGTTGATTGCTGATCTGTATCGGTCAAAAATGTTGCCTTAAAGTAAAAATCAAATCACAGAACCAAAATATTTTGAACTATTTATCGTATATTGTAAAGCTTTTTCGAGAATATAATCAAGAAAGAACAGGGCGATAAAAATAAATAACTTGTTAGTTAGAGCGAGTTAAAGAAAAAGATTCAAATCCCACTTGTTATGAAAGCATTGGTATCTAAGTTATCCAAAAACTGACCTGTAGTTAACAAGATCAAGCGAGCTATCTGTTCAGCCCTCTAGTGGAGTTCAATAAAGGTAAAAACCAAACATTTAGGCAGATCTTAGATGTAGTCAAGAACACAGGAAGCAGTTCTTTTGGAATCTCTAACAACAGCCCTAGAATGCTTAACGCCTTTTATATGAATGCTAAAACCATAATGAAATTAATTCTTACAGGTAAGAACACCATGAAAATAATAATTAGGTTCCTGTGTGCGCTTGATAATATTAAAGACTGTTATTTAGTCGGTTATCAACTTTAATTTATTCAATCCGAAGAGGAGACTTACATTAAGTCACGAAACTTCAGAAATGCAAATTTCTACTCATTGAAATATCACAAAAAATATAATTATAACTAGATTTCTACCCAATGCTCAATACATTTAAACCTATTAAGCCCAACCTTGGTATTGGTACTTAAAAACTCATTAATAGATTAAGCACTTGGTTTTCAATCACTGGATTGCAAGTGGAAGCGCGACTTCATATAATTTGACTCGTGCACTTATCACTAGATTATACTGAAAGTGCAGCTGTAGATGACCGTAATCTCAGCATAACTTTTACTCGATATCTACTGAGAACATTTGTTTACTTAGATGAGAAGGAAGGCTTCGTTTGGGGTAATTTATTCAAATTGAGAGGGTAAGGTGTGTACGTTGCTCATCAATAATATTGGTGCTAGGAGTATTGCTGAATGATGATTCTCCGAAATAACCGATATCCAGTAAATTAGATAGGAATTTGTGATTAAAGACTTACTTATCTAACTGGTGATATGCTAATTTGGTGGCGGTGGTCTAATTTCCCTGCACTAAGTCGCTATGGCGAAGAAATATAAACTGTGAATTCTACTAACTCAATTGAAGCTTAGATGCTTTTTCAACTAAAGTGAGCCGTTGCTGTTATTGGGGGTCTAAAAGCAGTTTGCCAATCATGCGATAAAGCGCTTAGAATAATCATAAATATTTATGTTGAAGCATATGAAAAAAGGCTAACAGACTTGTCAATTTGCTTTACATTAGTCAGGAATTATACTGACCGAAATTTCTTGTACTACCAATGGCTTCAGCATCGAATCCATTTAGGAAACTTGTGATGAGACTGAAATGTGTGTTGGAGTCACGTGGCTAATATGAGGTTTTATACAGCGTTTTTTTTTTGAAAATATGAAAGTCTGGCTAGACTATACTATCCTTCGATGTTACAGGCTTATCTACTGCACCAAGTTCACGAGATTTATTTCGTTATAAATGTACGCTTAAAAAAAATATCAATGAAAAAACAAATTTCATTTCATTTTGACCAAGAACAGTTTTGATATTCAAACGCATGGGAAGTACTAAAATCTGTGAAAGATTGACATATATGGATCAAGCTGGTTTTCGTTTAGGACTAGCATCGATCGGTCTATTAACATTCTGTGGGTTGAGGTCCAATGTATCGTTTTTTATCAGTCTTCACAATAATGCGATGAGCTTTTGTAATTCAAAATCTTCCCTATTATGATAATATTAGCACCTTTTGTGTTGTATTTTTGGTGCTCGATTGTACCGGATTTATGTGCATCAAATATATAAGAATAATTAAACTATCTATAGTCGAAACCAATCTGTAAGGACTTTATCTGACGACTACCGTAACGAATAGCCCACATCTACCTATCTGCTTCTTCTTTTTCTAACTCTTCTTACTCATCTTAGAGGATAGTCTACTGATCAGGAATCGCTAAACAACTTTGTCCTGGGCTCTCCTTTCCAGTTGTTGCCAAGTACAATTCATTCTTCGGATGTCTGTCTACGATTTCCAGTCCGATGTATTTTTTCTTCGGTTTCCCTCTTTTCCTTTTGCCTTTAGAACTTCAAGTTGTGGTAGTTCTCCAAGCTTCAGTTCCGTATAATAGAACCGTCCTAACATCTGTATTGCAAACTTTGTCTTTAGTGTTGGCTGACAATTGTTATGAGTTCTAGATATTTTTTAATTGTAGGAGTGCTGACCTTGCTTTACAAATCCGTGCTTTCACTCCTTCGTTGGATCTTCCTTGTTTATCAATCATGCTGCACAGGTACATAAAAGCCTCCAACTCTTCCGGAGTCTTTCCGTCAAGTGTGATGGGGTTGGTGTCTCCCGTGTTGTATTTGAGGATCCTGGTTTTCTCTTCTGTATGTTGAGGCTGCTGCTACACTCTTTGTCTTCATTTGCACTTGTTGGTGTATATGGGACAGATGACACAGGTCATCTGTGAAGTCCAAATCGTCTAGTTGCATCCAAGCTGCTCATTGTATTCCGTGTTTCCCCTCAGATGTGTGGGTTTTCAAAATCCAGTCAAACATCAGAAGAGAGAGAGCGAAAGTAAGCAGTCTTGTCTGACTTCGGCCCTTACTTGGAATACGTCTGTCAGCTGCCCTCCATACACGACTTTGCAGTGTAGTCCATCTTGAGTTCCGTATGATGATGACGGTCTTCTCAGGTGCTCCATAATGTCGATGATTCATCATGTTTCTCCTATTCACACTATCAAAACGCTTTCTCATAGTCAAGGAAGTTGATGTACGGTGATGAGTTCCATTCAATGGATCGCTCAGCAATAATCCGTATAGTCGCAATTCGGTCGGAGTAAGATCAATCCTTACTTCTATGATTGGCGTGCTCGTAGCACTGGATGAACTTTATTGTGGCAACTGCCTTTGTTTTCAATGGTGCTTTGATGATCCTGCATTCATGAAGTTCCCAACCCACAGGCGATCTTTGTGCTTCTTTGAAGAGCATCGGTGCAAATACATGTGTTTGCGAAGCATCTCCTTCATGGCTAGAGTACAACAGCACCTCGCTGGACGCGAGTTTTTTCTGTCCAGATTGCATCCAATGGGTTCCTCTCATTCCAAGTACTGGCAGATTATAATTTATCACTTTCGCAGCTATTTATATGGGGCTTTAGGTCTCCCAAAATTTCCAGACATTCTATGTATCTATGTTGATTTTTGCTTCGGTTGTCAGAAAGGGCATCATGATGCACCATAACTTCCCTGAAGAAAGACTCTTTGATCCTCATGGCAGAGTATAAATAGTTAAAATGACTTTTTGTGGTTAATGTTACTTAGAAAAGTTTTTTTCAACGGAATGGCATTAAGAATGCCATCCCCAACCCTTCTCCTTTATCCGGGTTTGGACCAGCAGTAACCCTAAGATTTCAAGAGTTACACATATCTACACTAAACTCAAACTAGTAAACATAACTTACTAAAATCGCCTATTTCCTCTTCTATGTAAATATACACTTACTTTGATGGAACGCAGGTTATTGTCTAAATTCCGCTTGTTGACTGATACTGATACTTGGTGACTCATACTTATTCCAATTTACTTTTGTTCAAATTCACTGTTCATTGCAAAGTTAGTACGTTAATTTGAAGCTAGTTGAACTGATATACTTGTTGAATAAAATAACACAAGAATTTACTGCGTCTCAAACTTTATCTCGATACTTCTGTCCAAATCGAGGACATCATGGCATAGTAACTACGACGCCAATTTACATTTAAATAAATGTTTTTGTCACACCTCAGTGCTCATTGAGCTAGTTCCTTAAGTTTATTCAGAACACTTACATCAAACTGAATACAGAAAAATCTTAAGACTTCTTGCTTAGAGAAAATATGAGGACGATCGAAACAACACATAGATAGGTTCCAAGTAGGTGTGCCAGGAAAGTTCCATCCATCACTGGACTAGCAGGAAACAGACTCAAAATCCGCACCACCTAATTTGATTGAGATGAGATTTAGAGATACTACTTAACTGCTCAGCATGTGGCTTAAACGCCAGTGCACAAACCTGTAATTGGTAAATGTTACGCAACTTCCCAGAAATATAACAATGCCATGGATGACTAGTTTATACAAAAAAATAAGTAAAACAGCTAAATGCTGTTATTTCGACATGAACGTTTTCTATTGACAAATTTTCGGTCCCCGAATTCTCCGCTAATCTACAGTCAATAGCAAGACAATGCAGTATTTTACCTTTAATTAGTAGTCACTTTAAACAATGAAATATTTGATCACAAGAAAACTTACCGAAGGCAATTCAAATGCATGTGTACACTGGACTGAGTTATTGGATTGAAAACTATTTGCATTCGTTTCATATGCTGTACAGAAAGGAACGTGTACCGTAGCATCCGGGTAGCTGTTTGACTGTTTTAAACGAGAATCGCAGTTTTGATTAGGAATTAAATATGTGGAAACATAAGCATTATCTTGTGTTACCAACGAGTCCGGAAAGCTGGAGATGAATATACTTTCACTGTAGCAATCATGTTGTTCACTTTCGTAACTGTTTGGATCCCAATCTGGATAAATTACGGCGCTACTAAATCCTTCGGAAAAGGAATTATAATAAGATGGTTTAGAATGGTCGTAAGAATTATAATTATGACCATCTGTGGGAAAGAAATCACAGACTGGATATTCAAAAGTCTGATCAAGTAGTTCATTGGAGCTTGAAGGGCCTTGGTATACGGTAAAACCATTAACGTAATTCTCTCCACTGGCTTCACGTGGTTCCATAGTATGTATACATAGAGATGAGTTCATGGAAAAATTTGGAACACCTTTGAAGTAGTGAGAATTATAGAAATAACTTTCACTAGAGGAGTTAGGCCACGATATTATGTTGTCTTTCGATTCACTGGTGAAACCACTTACGCGAACTAAATCTGAAGTTACTTCCAACTCTGATGAGAAAGTTTGGGCTGTGCTATCAACACACATATGGATCTGCTCAGAACGTCCATTATTAGTAGTGCTTTCGTCCTGGAGACTGTAAAATGGTTGTGAGGCTCCGGAGATTTCTGAATGAGGTGGAAGGGTAACATAGAAATGCCTTTCTAAAGTACTATCTGCCTTATAATTCGGGTGTACATCAGACATGAGATTTGTATCCTGAGGAAGTTCCGTCATAACATCAAGAGGCGCGTGTACAGCTTCCTCAGCTAGCCACATCAAATTCTGAGAAACAATATCTCCATAACTATCGGTGTTTGTTTGATTTGTATAACGACACAGTGTACTGGGGAAAGTTGCTGGTACGTAAACTTCAGTATGCAACGAGTATTCTGGAGCCGTTTGGCAGTCGTCTGAAAAATTGCTTGCACATGTTTCGGTTTCAGAAACCTCAAAAGTGACGAAAGAATTACCAACGGCTTCTGCATTAGAGGTGCGGTTACTTGTACCTTCATGATCAAATGTACCAAGTGAGTCTAATACATTAGGACAATTAAGTTCTGACAAGGAATTTGGAGCTGAGTCTGTGTAAACAGTTAAAAGTTTGTGTTGGGAATTGACACAAAATGTAGAATCAGAAATGGGCATTTGAAATCGTCAAAAGAGCTAGTTGTATAATATTTGCTACATGTATGTAGTGGTCCTAAATGTTAGAAAAGAGACATTATGAGATGTTAATGAACCTCTTTCTTTTTAAACATTTATCTGCGTAATATGTAATGGAGACGAAATTATCAGAAAACAAACACAAAATGTTCCAATGCATCCCCACATTAGGTTCTAATTTGTACTAAAAAAGATAATAAATAAACCTTCATTTGATTACAACAAAAAAGTTAGGGACTAAACAAATACTTCGCAGTCAGACCCACCAATCTGAAAGCTCCACAGAACCATTACGAACAATCGTTACGGAGACTAAACAACACTTATTATCATTCAATCAGCTTCTAAAGCCTTGAAACAGATATCCGTTTGAAAACTATATCTATCATGCTCAAGTTAACTCACGACAATATCAGGTTCAGAAACATACATGTACTTACCAACATTAAACAGGCGTTACCCTATTCGTTCAATTGCCTTTAGTCATTGTCGCCTAAAAAAACCTCCTAACACCTCAATACAAGCGGATATTCGGGTTGTGAATCAATATAAAAATCATGGTATGGTGTCAAAACCCTGCAGGATCCATGGTTCCAGATGAAAGCTACTAGATATGATAGCTGAGAAGGCTCATTGTCTAACATCAATGAATACTCGCTACATTGCTCTCACACTTTAGTATCACTGATATTAATCACTTAACATAACGTACTTTGACACCTCAGTGTTGTGTCATAACCTCAACTCTGCTAAGCAGCAGTCCAAGGTCGTCCACATGTTTGAATACCAGCCTTGAATGACAACACTGAGCCAAGACTACATGACCTCGAATTGACATTTCATCATAACATGATAAGTCGATTGTAGTCTTAAGGTTGTACCTCAATGTTACACCAAGATCATTGCAAGATCGAACCACGAGGGCTGACTCTTCCCCTATACTGCACCAATTTAACTTTTTCTCCCTAATGTCTACTTAGATACACTTAGCCGCATTGATAGGCATAAGCTATTTTTTAGACCAACTAATCAAAACATCCGAGTTCACCTGAAGTGCACATGCATCTACGTCTCCTGTAATCTCTCGCCAAATATTTACACATCAGTGTAAAATAGAGTCTGTGAGCCCATTTACGTACAGCTTAGAAAGTAAAAGGCTAACGACAGAATTTTTCCGTACTCCACTAAGTGCTGATTTCTAGGAGGAACAATAGGGTTTTGTCACTAATTTCTGTCTACAACCTACTGAGAAATTCAGTTTAAGGGTTGTCAAGCAATTACTATATTTTCCAGCTTCATGAGGAGTCTATTAATCGGCACCACATCAAATGCTTTGCTGACGTTTATATAAACAACATTCACTGATTTTCCACCATTTAGAGACTCTATCTCTCTCTTGATATAAGGAGGTTTGTTTTGCAGTGTAAAACCTTGATGAAACCGTCTTGTTCTTTGTTTAGCAAATTATTAGTTTCCACGAATGTCATTATGGCCTCCTTCATTCTTCTTTCCAATATTTTAACAACACTGGTAAAGTTGATAGGTTCGCAGTTTGTTAGAAGTTGTCTTGATCCTGCTATGTGAGTTGAAGTGAAAAAGGAGTAATTCTAGTCCATAGGTAACCCACCTGTGCCAAGTGATATGTAGCGGTAAATAAATTCCCCAAGTCAATAGTTCTGTAGGCTTTCGATATTGGTGCTGACCTCTTTAGTTTTACTGGACAAACCTAGATGGAGGCGCGCGGTCACGCATCCTCATCCGATCACCAGTGGGTGCGCCGTGCTTTGCATCCCTTGCAACTGCTGACCAGCTTACATCAAACGCTTACCGATATATCGACAGTCTATCAAATATGTCTTCGAACCTCTTCACTTCTGGTTTGACTGTGTTGACATATTCATATTGTGATGGTGTTACGCGTAAAGTTGTCGTCAGATTCCAAATACCTGTGACATCCTAAGAGAGGGAATATCGTAGTCAGTGAGGCAGTAATGTATTATGCAATGTCCAGATTTTTGCGTGTACTTTGTCCTGTCCCGTTGATTTTTCGTGTATAAATTGCTAAGGGCCTTTAGTATGTCGTCTCGATCAAAGTCCATGGAAATCAGGTGATTTTGTCAGTTAGCACCTGGGTCCAGTTCTTCGTCTGAAGGGAACTTCTGAGTAAGAAACTCCATGACCTCTGATTTGTGCTGATATTTTTCTATCATTCTAGATGCCTTCCCTTTCATAATAAGATTGGGAATTCAATAGTATATTGTTTTTATGTAATTTATGTATGACAAGTCTCCTCAGTTGCTTGAATACAGATTGTGCCAAATGTCCTTCAAATTTTTGCTGACTTCTTCGGGTTGTGTTTATACACTTACTTTGAGTCGACTTGTAGCGTTTCATCTTATGTGCTGTACCAAAGATGATGACAGCATTATAACACTTTTTCTTTAGTCTTAGTAAACGTCGAATCTCCCGGTCTGTCCATGGGTGGTGATGGTTATTCTTTTTTTAACTGTACAAAGTATAAATGGTCGGTCACTTGACTGTGCAACTGTAGAAAATGAGCCCATGCCTCTCCTGCTGATGCTCCGAAGTCATTTTTCCAGTTTTCATTTGAGGCTGCAGGGTTGATCGTCTTCATGTCTACCTTACATATGTTAGAAAAGGATTGTGCAACTTCTTGACAAACCATATCGGCCATAAACTTGAGTAAGATGTCAGCATGATCACTTATCTCTATGGGTGGGAGGAACTTTATTTCATTGACATCATCACCGTTTGTGAAGAACAAGTCCGAAGTGCACAAATTTTGCAGGTCATATATGGTAGGACCTCAAATGTACTGAAATAAAGCTAGGGCGATTTCAGTTCCTAACATTTCGTAAATAAACGATGGTTTTAGTGGCCTCACTTCTATGTTTTCCTAGTTTATAGAAAGCGTATTAAAGTCGCCTACCACGAGATCTTTATACCTCTTTCATCAAAATTTAAGTTGATGTAGGAGGAAGTCATCGACTGCATATCCTGAAATGAGATATACTACAACTCATTCAATATATCGTCATTTGATCTTCAGCGTATAGAGCACCATTTCACATGTCCTTTGGTCTTGTATCCCTGTCTCAACAACTAGTATGGCTAAGGTGCTTCCCTTGTACAGGAAGAATCTCACCACCCATATGGTTTAGTCTATCAGCCCTGAGAAGTGAGAAATCAAGCGACTGAACTTCACTATCATGCACTTCTGACGTTACTCAAATCTTCTGACATGAAGACGAAATCAGAGATTTGTGCTCACTACGCTTCTCAGCTCGATCACTTTATTTGTTAGACCTCGAGCATCTGTACAGTATGCTTATAATCTGGTACAATACTTTCCCGCACCACTTCGAGTGCTTTATGGATCTTTTTACTTCAAACCTTACAATCCTCACGAACATATAGATAGGAAAAGGTAACTGTTAAGAGGTGGCTTACCTGCATAATTTCGTAGTCCTCGTTTTTCTATTCTGTAAAGCTTAAGAATGGTGACTCACTACTGCTCATTAAGTGCTTAGGATGACCCAGATCGTGTTCTAACCAAACCTTTAGTTCGTTCCCTCAAAAGTTTCTTAAATTTATAAAAAAGGATTGACTTCTCCTCGAGATTTGTTTTGACAAGCTTTAAGATTTGGTTTTTTAAACGCTTCTAATCCATGCAGTCAGATTTGGCAGCAATTGTGCAGGTCTCTCTTTCTGTCTTCATTTTCTAGGTGCCACTGTAAGCCAGTCACTGACTCTATTTCGCTCCCTGATTTAGTCTTCTAAAACCTCAAGGCCTTGCTCTTTCACAGCTCGTATTGCTTTGATACGTGTATGTGGTTCTGCAGCGAAAATGGCCAGCTTACATTAATGGTAGCTTTCTGTAATTCGCCTCTTTTTCGTTCTTTTCTTTCTTACAACTGTGCCTACAACTGCGTGTTTGACATCTACGTTATGAGGACCCAACTTGATCGTTCTACCCAAATCTAAGAATGGACTCACGATATCGTTCTTCGCTTCATCAAGATCTGATGACTGCTAATTTGCCTGTGGTCATTTATTTTAGGACTCCGTCTAGCAGCTCGGTCACCCCAAGAATAAACAAAGGCCTTATTGAGCAACATTCTTCACACAGCCATGATAATTGTTTTCAACACTTCTTATATGCATCCGGTGTGAGTTTAGTGCACAATTTGTGATATTAACCATTGCAGCAGCCATATTGCATTATATCTTCAGCCGTAAAAAAGCATGTGGATTTACTAAAACGATGTTTTGTCCAAGCGATCAAATTTGCTAAGTGATCTCACCAAGAGAACGACAAAAAATCCCATTAAGCGCTGAAAAAACAGACGGATACAGGGAAACCGATTTATAGAATACGTACTCCAAAAGCTAATTGGGTAGTAAACACAGAACACACAAGACTGAAATTTCCATGTTACAGCAACTGAAAAATCAACATAAACAGGTATAAAAGGAGCTTCCTCACCTTATAATACAACCAAACTAAAAGAGGTAATCGACCAGGGATAATACCACCGCTCATTTGAGGTAGAAAGTAACAACTGGTAAGAAATGATCTCTTCTCGATTGGTTTTTATCATGACTCTAAACTCTACTTTTGAAGAACGGGAAGTTTCATCCGTTTTTAAATTTTTTGTAGTTGGAAGTATAGTAGCCACTCAGTAGTATCAAGAATGTTACACTATGTTCGCTATTTCATGCTATTGTTTGTTAACTGTGGTAGTATCGAGTTGCGGTTGAATATGATCACTACTACAGGAAAACGGCTTGCCAGTTGCTAGGTTAGATCTCTCTGAAGGCCAAATATCAGAAGGCAGTTGGGGATTGTATTAGGATGTATTCGTTGGCGATCTCGTGGTATCGAAATAATACCCAGTTTGTGCCAAAGTTTACAGGCGACATCACGGATATACGAGAGTTCGTGCAAGGTTACAAACAGTGGAAAAGTGAGTTTTTCGGTACACTTAAACAAACATGTACTGTAAAACAATCACTGGTACAGTTGGTCATAATAATAATTATTCCCAATATGCCAGTCGCCCTCTTCATAAAAGTAGGTCACTACATAAGCATAAATTGATCATGTTATTCTTTCAAGATAACCTATTTCAAACAAGTGCACGCTTTGATGATAAAACCAAAAGACTAGTAGTTGATATAAAAAATGAAAGATCAATGATGAAAAGGTATCTTAATAATGACAAACTTATTTGAATTTATAGACTACGTCTTTTTCTCTCATCCTCAAAACAGATAAACAGCTTTCTACTCACTGCTGAGACCGATTTCTTTTACTTTCAATCCACGACTCCTTGTTATCTGTCTCAACAACTTATTTGTAGACCGCCACTATTCATTGTAATGAAACTAGCTGCCTAGAGTTTTACATGCTGACTAAACACCGGGTGTGTTCCTATTCAAACAGCTGGACGTTGTCAGTCACTTATAGTTCCTTGTCCTACTGCTCACCCTTTTCTCTTACCCTTATTTCAGCAATTCCGCATCACATACCTTTGGAGTTCCTACCTAGAACTTAGACTTTATATTCAACATATGAACTTTGAAGGTACACAGCTTATTGCCGTTTCCTTTTTTCACTAATTTATCATAAATAAGAGCTTTTCGAATACCAATTTCATAGGTGCCTGATATATTTCTATTGACTTTCGCTTGTGAAAAATAGCAGATTTATCAATAAAATCTCATCAATAACTCTAATATGATGGCAATTTATGTGGAAGTCCTGATCGTACATT